GAGGGTCAAAATAAGGCACTCCTGGAGCAGCTACTCACATGTAATACACACTTTTATTAGACTATCTTATATGACTGATTCTAACATCTTCCTTTTTTATTTTTACAAAAATATTTTAACCTTTCAGTCACAAAGCTAAGGGAGATAGCTTGCAAGCAATATCAGTTTTGATAATTATTTGAAATGGCACTGATACAGCCCTAGTCCTGCAAATGCCTGTTGGAATACCAACAGAGGATTTGATAATTTTTTCTTTTTCTCCAACAGCATTTTTAATGCAAAGTGAATGTTATGGTCGCATTTCTGTGTTGTTCAAGATTTGTTATTTTAGTCTTTTAAAGGAAACAAAGCTGGGCACCAGTTCGCTTTCAGTGTTTCTGCTCTAGCCCTTGTTTCCCCAGCCCTCAAGAATTAAATCTGGTTTGTGCAAATAGGAGATAGCCCGGAACAGCTTGCAGGGAAATCTTGTACCCTTGTGTGTTCCAATGGCCAATGCTCTATCAGCACATGCTCTAAATAATGAACTATCTTATCAGGGACTCTAAGCCAAATAAGTAATAATCAAGAAAACAGATAAAGGGCTTGAGAAGGTTGCTGTAGGAATGATGGAGGAATTCAGGTATAAGGGGAATTAGCAACATTGCAATTAATGTTGGAGAAAGGAATGCAAGGAGACAGGAATGGTGCTGGGAAATTTTAGGGGCTTTAAGATGATTTTGGTAGCTGGGGAGAATATTCTGAGGAGAAATTGGAGAGATGCCAGTAAAAACTACAAACTGCTGCTTGCAAGTGCCCATTCAGGTACTGCAGGGAGGTTCTAGATGTTCTCGTTTCATAGCATTAGGAAACCATACAAAGCCAAGACAAGCAAGAGTATGGCTCCTGTATAGCTGCACTGCCCTGCAGCCAAATGTGGACACACGTTCATCCTATATCCCTACTCAAGTCTTGTACCACTGAACTTACAGATGATCTCTATGAGACAAGCTAAGTAAGGAATTTAAATCCTGTAAAATAGAGACAGCTGGTGTCTCCAAAAGCCATGTTTGCTGAGATAGTTACAATTACCATTTTTTACAGAATGCTGAGTTACTACTTTAGGCTGCATTTGAACTCGGATAAAGCCGATAGCCTTCCTTTGGACCCATTAGAGTGCACATGGTTTGTGGAGTTAATTTTTGTATCAGACAATTGCTATTTTGGTTTTAGGCCCCTGGCAATCTTTCAGAAAATAACCACAGACAAAGTTTTCTCCAGCAAGAGAAATAACTTTATTTTTTATCCTACTTTTAAAGGAAAAAGCCAGGTGTTCCAGAAGGAAAGCATATGGTCTCTAGCTAGGAAACAGTATGTAGTTTGTTGTACAGGATCACAAGCTGGACTTTTGAGCCTGGAGCAAATGAAAGTTATGTCTTATTGATGCTCCCAAACTCTGACAACAGATGTTTCACTGCTGTTCCCCTACCTAGCTGCAGCTTCTAGACAGTATTTCTGTGGTGAGTGGTCTTGTATCATGTTACTAAGGGATGCTGCCATACACTTGTTTAGACTATCTAGGTAGGATTAGTGTCTCTTTTTTTTTAATGGATTTTTTGGGTTTTTTTTTTTTTTGTTGTTGTTGTTGTTGTTTTTTCACTGCTGTAGACTACCTCTTTTGGCCATTTCTGAGTTCTGTAGTAGAACCGGAGAGCTAGAGACTGTCTGTTTAGGTTTGTGTTTCCATCACCAGTCTCCAGAGTGAGGACTTCAGCAGGGTGGTTGCTAAACAACAGCTTCCATAACAGAAAGTAGAGGAACAACAAAACCTTATTCCAAAACATTACTGCATGCACCAAACCTTGTCTTCAGTGTACTTCTCTCCAAAATCTAGAGGAGGTATGTCTTGCAGTTATCCTGGAAGTGAATGATTGCAGAATTTACACCAATGTAAACCAATTAAATTAATTATAGTGAGCAGTTCTAGAAAAGGTTTGATTTTCTATTTCCTGGCAAGTCACTTATTCCTGGAAGGATCAGTATGTCTTTCTCTAGAGCAGCAGTGAGCCATGCTGTAATATAAAGTAGCCTCTACTTTTCTAGATGATGAAGGAGACATTTAAACACTATGTAACATTTTCTACAGTCTCTTGTATTTCATTTTGGAATAATTTTGGATTTTGTCTTGGAATTACTATAACTGAAATGCATAGAAAGCTTCACCCAATGAGCTCAGAACATTCTTGTAGTGGATGAGGCCTGGGTGGGAAGAACAAAAGGAGCAGACTTGCTTTCTTGTTCCTTTTAGAGGCTAGCCCAAGCATGCATGTCATTAAGGATATTATTTAAACCTGTTTTATTTTAAGAAATGTTCACAGGTATTGCTAATAACTACAGAGATGAGGTGTTCCCTGCTGAATGAAACTATCTTTGTATTAGCCACTTTTTCCATGAATATAACAACAGCCCATACACTAGCAAAGGTGGCTGTTGTCCTTACTTTTGATCACTGCACACAGCCAAGGGGTGTAGATGGCATTCTTCGGGGAACCTTCAGACAGGAGCAGTTTGTTCCAGAGTAACACCCCCTGGCATGAATTCATCCTGCTAAACACAGGCATGAATTTTACAAAGCTGAAAATGCTGTGTTTAGCAGGATGGCCTCCTTAGGTTTCAAGAGAAGGAAACTCTCAGTTTAAGGCTTCCCATACTGATCTGAGCTGGCACATTGAATCCCTTGATTTCAGAAATTACCACTTCAGTGGGTGATCTTGATATGGCACTTTCAGTGTTAGGATTGCAAACCCTGAAAATCCAACAACATAACCACCAGCTTCCTGGAACGATGGCAGGATTTTATTTTTTTTTTCAGTAACAGCTTTTTTTCATTGCTTTTTTATGTATGCAAAAATATGTTAGAGATATTTTTTCCTTAAATTGTATTTATACTGTGCTACATAGTATTACTTCTTTATACACAATCTGTCTTCTCAAATAAGCAGAAATCTAACAGCATCTAGGTTGGCAGTGATGACGTAAAGCTCATGGGTAGAACTGGGGACTGAGAAATGTATTAAAGCTGAAACAGAAACATTCATTATGCAATTCATGTAAACTACCAGTTTGGTTTCTATTTCAGGGACATTGCAATCAATTGAATGGTCTCTTGTTCTTTCTGTCAAGAAAACAAGGTGGATTTATAATTGAGAATACAGACTGTTAAAACAATGAAGGTAGGAGATTATATTCTTTTGCAGTTGTTTTTGATAGGATTCCTCTGTACAAAAAAGAAATGAGAAGGTGCTCTCCTCCTTCTAGAAGAAATTCAGAAAGTGGCTCTAGAGACCTGAAGTCCACATCTTAGCTGGCAAAGTAGGTATCACTGTCTCTGAGCTGCCTAAGCTAAATCAAGAGTGAGGTATCATAGCATAGGGATAGCAAGGGATCAGGCAAGGATCATCAAAAAAGGGACTTGGGAGTAGATTAAAACCCCATACCCTAAGATCAAAGCAGAGGCTGAATGGACCCAGTTTGTTATGTTGCAAGGCCTTTGGGTAAGTTGGGGCTACACTGAAGTTGAGGGAAATGCTGGTTTAGAAAAGACGTGACTATGTGCACATGGCTTGCTAGTAAAATTGCATGTTAGAGCTGAGGAACCTTATGCATGAGAGGGAGAAACCCAGCACATTGGAATCATAGGTGAGTGAGTTTGTGGTTTTGAAAAGGTGTATGTCTTGTTCCATAGCCTGCCAGTGCTATAGATCTACTTGTCAGGCCACATATTACATATCACAATGCAGCTGCATGTTGCTTTTGTGATGGGTGGGTAGGTTTAGAAAAGAAGCTGAAAGTTACCTTATTTTGAGCTATCTTCTCTATCTTGAAGCATCTGGGAAACTGAATTTCAATAATTTGTATTTTGAAATGTATGTGTTCTGAAGTTTCCTGCAAAATAGCAACACTGAGGAAAAAAATTGTTTTCAAAATAGAACATCATCTTTTCATAATCATGTTTGTTCTTTGGGAGTGTTGCAAAATGTGGAATATGTCAAGATTATCTGAAGTCAGGATGTTCTTTGATGTAAGATCTTTGTATACTTTCAAGCCCTCTGCAACCTTCACTGGGAAAAGTGAACCTTTTCCCAATGAACCTTCACATGAGGAAAAGCAATTAAGGACATATCGATCTCTGTGCCAATTTCAAAATATACCCTGGGGAGTCTGACCTACTTTGGACTAAGCTTGTTCATTAGCAGTTTCCTCCCTGCTCCCAAAAGTAGTTGCATCGACAAGGACACTGCTGCTTTCCCAGGTGAAAGTGGGGAGACATTAATGTCCGCCAGGCTGGATGGAACCCACAGCTGGTAACACTTAGGGGGATGCATTAGTGCTGGGCAGATATATCACAGCTGCCTTCATAACATACATTCTCAGCCCAACCCAGAGCTGGAACCTGCTAATGGAGTACCTGGAAAAACCCGGGCAAACCTTTTTTATTTATTTTTAGATTTGTCAGGACAGATCTAGCCTGGAGTCCTAGAGAGACTGTAACTATGGGGTAATCTGCAAGGCCTTTGCTTTTTGGAGTAATTTACAAAAGGGAAACAGATGAAGGCAGCAGCTTTTGACTCCAGTTGAAACAAGGTATTGCAGCTGTTTCCACAAAGAGAGCAGAGGCACTGGGGTAGGAGAAGGCTTCTCAGTGCAGGGGGCTGGCTCTACATTACCTCCACCTGCCCCATTGTCCAGACATCAGTCTATTGCAGATGGACAGCACAGGCTGTACAGAGGAGAAAAGAGGTGTACAGCTCCCAGTCACCCTAGAGCTGTCCTGCATGGATCTCTCCCTCCCTAGCACCTGCCAATCCTTTTTCTCTTTCCTTCTGGGAGGCTTCCTCCTGAAGGAAGAAAGGATCTGATCTCATTTTGTCCCAAGAATTGCAACACAGCAGTTGCCACAAGTGAGATGCTTTTTCTCATGTAAAGCAAAACCCAACCTTTAATGCAGCCCATCATGTCACAATTCCTCTGATTATCCTGCAATTTTTCCAGACAGAGAAGGAAAGTACATTTCCCTGCCAGAATTGTTTCTTAGGAATTAAAATAACTGCAACATCTACTGGGTTATTCTTTTATATTATTACATATATGAATAAGAACATGCGTATAAGTGTATATCTGGGTTATATGGGAGATGGTGAATTTAAGTGGCAATCAAATACTTACCTCTCCCTAACCTTCTTCCATTTGCTTAACATTAAACTGTCATGTATCATTGGAACTTGGGCTGTTAGAGGCACGTTATGATAGAAGTGCCTGAGGGGGAGCTGTGTTCTGCATCTGGTATCCTGGGAAAAAATCTCCAATAAATCAGTCTCCTCTGAACTGGGATGTAACAATAAGGAGGAAAAATGTAAGTTTTGCCCTCTACTAAAATTCATAAACTTTACAGGTTATGGGTCTAAAAATAATATGAGGAAGCAGACTGGACCTCTAATAACCTGGCAGAAATGAGCAAAGCACAGGGTGAAAGAAACCAGAAATCCTGCTCACTAGTACAATGAATAGTTGAGGTGGGGGGAAAAAAATCAAACATGTTCTGTCTACCCACCCTTGCCTGAGTTTGAACTCTGTCATTCATGAATCATGCATGCAAAGTGGTGCTGGGATGCCAGGCAGGAAGAGCGCTGTACTGTGAGCCAGGCTCTCAGGAATGTGTAGCCTCTCTCTGCCACTGGCCTCAGCTGACCTTGGGCTTTAGACTCCCAGTGCCTCAGTTTCCCCATCTACACAGTAAGTTCTGTTCTTCATAAAGGGCTACTAGCAGGGAGGATCAGAGGAGCTGTATACACTTAGGTAAATATGGTTTTGCTGGTTTATTTTCTCTAGAAATACAATATGAGAAGGAAAAGGCATCCAAAATTTGCAGAGGACAGAGGTAAGGCAGGCTGGGGCAGCCAGGCAAGAACTTTCCCATCAGATTTTGGAAAGCAACTTATCTGTGAAACAGCTTGAGACTCAGCCAAGCCCCAGACCTGAGAGCAGCCAGTGGGCAAGTACAGAGGTGGAGCTTGCACTGAGGCTGTTTGCTAGATATAAAATGCTTGGATGGGTCAGTACTGACCACAGCTCTCAGGAAGTGGCTGAGGGGAGCTGTGCAGAGAGCGACACTAGCAATGGAGACAGCAGCCCCAGCTCTTTTGGTACTACTCAGCCTAAGAGTGACTATTTGTGATACTGAGGACACCTGCTCAGGTGAGTAAAGCACAAATCTTACTGCTATCTCACTGAGACAGCCTATTTCATCTCCCCAGATAAGAGAAGGAAGTTGTGAAGGGAGGGGGAGAAGTAGCATATGATTTTTTTTTTTTCTTCTTTGCCTTTTTAAATTCAGCTGCCAGTGGGAGGAGAGTAATGGGGAGGCTGAAGTCTCAGCAGCTGCTTAAGAAAGCTACTGTCTCCAACTAGTGATGTAACATCGTTCCCTCACCAGCGGGGTCTCTAGGAACAGTCTCTGGTGAAGTTCCCCCCCCCGCCCCCCCCCCCCCCCCCCCCCATTTGGGTTTTTTTTTTCAGTAGGGCCTCAGTGCAGTTACCAAAGGATACAGAGCAATATAAAAGATCAGTCTGGGGATGCTGCGCAGCACAGCATTCTGGCTGTATTCCCCAGGAAGGCCTGGGGCAATTTCAAACAGGCTTGCCATCAGGAAATTCGGAAGAAGTCTTACCCTTACTCTCCACAGATCCATCACTTACTCTGCTATCAATACCCCATTGGGGCACCTCTTAGCTTATGTTTTATTAATTATAGTATATTTGTCATGCATGCAATGTCATATATATCAGCCTCCTCTCACACTGAACTCCCCTGAAGCCAGAGAGATGCAGAGTCTGGCTTCTCTAATATGTGAGATCCTCAATGCCATCTGTCAATCCATATAACACCTCGAAACTTCCATACTCATTGCTTTTGATTACACTGTTCCTCAACTTCAAAGGATTTGGTTTCCTCTCCAAGACATTTCAGAGCCTTAATAATCTTCACAAAAACTGTCTTAATTTCTCAGAGGTGAGAATAGTGGGACTGGGTGATGCTGACCGCCTCGCCATTCTTCAAGGATGTCCAGGGATCCCAGGTGTCTCTGGCCCAAAAGGAGAAGCAGGTCTCCCAGGAACAAAAGGTAAGGCCCCTAAAGCCAGCGACGAGCACCCTGAGACGAGATGGTTTTGTTGCTTTGGATAGGGGAAGCAAGGTGAGGCTGGAGCAGTAGCTGGCCTGGCACTGGCTGCTGTGAGGAACTGGAGAATTGAAGTGGAAACCACCCCAATTAGACATATGCTGGTACACATGGAGTGACCTGTTTCTTCCTTGAGTCCTGTCCTGTCAATCTGATGTGATCTTGGGGTGTGAAGTGTCTCATTTGTTTCTTCTGCAGAAAATAATCCAGTTATTTTTTGGGTCTGTATCCAACAATCTGGGTGGGAGGGAGGCTGAGATGCTCCTGCCTTTTTCTGGGGGAATAGTGTGGGAAATATACTGGCAACCCCTATTCTGGGGTACAAGGGAGGTGGGGGTCCTTCAGAGTTTTCATAGCCAATGCACAGAGAAGGTGAATCACATCAGCTGAGCGAGATGATCCACCACAGTAAAATCCATGGACTGGCTCCACGATGTATCAAAGCTCCTAAGAATTCTGATGTAAACTGCAAATTTAGACTTTGAATGGCAGTACCAGAGTAGTAAGGCTTCAACAGAAAAGAAGGAGTAAGGTAAAAGAGTAAAATAGGTTACAAGTTTGAATCTGATTACCGCAGCTCCTTTGTTTCAGTGAAAGCCAAGGCCCAGTTGTCCAGGTGACTCTCCGCTCTGGTCAGTTTGTAACGTACCCATGAAAAATAAGTCTCTTTGCAGGAGAAATGGGAGACCAGGGATTCCCCGGGAAAGCAGGACCACCTGGTGCAAAAGGTAATGTGTAACATATTCAGCTCTAATCCGTAAATGCCCCCAAGCTTGGGACATGTGCTGGGAGACTGGGTCTTCAGAGATGAACTGCAGGATTGTCCATAGGCTAAGAAATGGTGCTGAAGTAGAATAGGAAAAGCCTGATTTGGGGTGTGGCTCTTGCATGGCGTGAATACTGGAAATAGTGTCCTTGAGTGTCTGAGACCACAACACAGAAGAAGATAACACTCTTCTTGAAATTTCTCACTGACCCTAAAATCAGATTTCTCCTCATTTTCCACTCCTACCCTAACCTGCCTCCAGCATAATAAGCCTGCCCAAATGCCCCCTAGCTCTGAGGAGCTTTGGAGCTCTCTATGGAGCTTCAGCCCAGAGGCCTGATGCAGAGGCACTATGCTGATGCTTGTTCTGCCAATTGACAGGGGCAATTTAAAGAACATACCAATGGAAAGAATGATCTTATTTTACTATGAATATAAAGGCAACAGAGTAAAGTAATACATTCAATAAAACTACATGCTTGGCTTTGGCAACAAGCAAAAATTAGCAAGGTAATGCACCTAATCATTACTATACGAGAGAAAGGATAGTCATTTAGAAGGATACATCACCAATTGCCTAAATATTTTAACATCATCCAGTCACTGGGGAGCCCTGTTTCACAGAGGGGACCTGGACAACCCTTCCTGGCAATTGGGAAAATCCTACATGGTGTGTCCATAGGTGAGGTCTCCAGATTTGCCCTGAAAGAGAGTCCAGTGTTTATAGGCCCAAATCAGCTAGTCAAAGTGACTTGATTTTATTTTTAGCTCAGGAATGCCTGGGTCTGATGGCATGCTTCCTGCTTAGCCAGGGCCAGTGCTCAGAGCCCAGGTCTTGGCTGGGAGGGTTTTCCCCTAAAATACCTTACAAACAAGCCTCTCAGTTGGAAAAGCTTCTTAAAATGACACATTTCTTGCAGACAACTACACAAGGTTATAAACAGCTAGCATAAGCATCTCTGTCATCTATTTTTTAGGTAAATAATACTGATGGTGTTAGTCACAAAATATTCACAATCCATCTTGTAAGTCTACTCTGGCTTAGGCCTGCTGCTCAGGCCTAGGCACATCGTTGCTTTCAGCAGCCTCCAGCCTTCAACTCAGTGTGCAGTGCTCACTTGACCAGAAGAACGGGATCAAACAATGGCACAGGACGAGGTTTCCTTTATAATGGGAGGAACCCCTGAAGAGGACAATATCTGTTGAGAAACTGGCATTCTTAGGCTTTCTTAAGATCTTCAGCAGGACATGTACTGCAAATACTGGAAAAGTGTCTCTTCTAAGGAATGCAGCTGCCAGCACAAGGGAACCGTAGGGACTGAGCAGCACTGACTATCAGGGAACACATCCCTTTTTACATGCTGAATATGAAGCTATTTCCTGGCCAAAAGCACCCAAGACTTGAACTGAGATGCCAGCAGGAGATGGACAAAACCACTGAAAAACTCTGACAAACCCTATTGATCAAAATCTCCTAAGTGCCTGACTGTAAACAGAAAGCCCCCACAAAAAGTCACTGAAATGGAACTGTGAATCCCCCATACATTCCAAGAGATGGAGCAGCAGTTCTCTCTCCTCTGTATCCTGCTCTTCTTGAGAGATACTGCTGATCAAGAGAGCAGCCAGGCTGAGGCAGCAGCACCAACTGGGACACTCAGCCAAGCACTGTAGCTTTGCACCTCTTGACAGCCTCTCCTGTACATTTGAGACATATTGAGGGGTTGGAGCAGTCATTTGTCGAGGCACAGTAATGCATTTGCATTGGATAGTCCATGATGAGCATTTTCCTCTTGTATTTTGTAGGAGCAGCTGGAGAGCCTGGCTTCCCAGGACTGAAAGGTAAAGCATGCTGTGCTGGATTTATTATGTGAGCTACTTTGTAAACTTCCACCCTGTGCTGTTCTCCTACAACACAACAGATGAGAGCAGCTATAGAGACTGGATGGGGCTGTTTGCTGACAGTTATACCTCATCAGCTGATGGTGCCGCCTGGCACCATCAGCTGCAGAAGCCACAAGGCTGAGGGACCAGCCAGATTTGGGCAGAGTCTTAATATTCTCATGCTATGGCAAAATGCAGAGGCTCAAATGAAATTCAGTTGCTGCTAGTGCCAGAGGAACATGTGTCTACCAGCACTAGCAACAAGGTATTAGGAAACATGGTTTTTTTCCCTTGTGCCATCTTGCATGTGAGGGCCACAAGCACCCACCACTGAGCATCATCTGCACTGTGGCATCCCTCTCTGGAGTTTGGCTGGCAATCATTGGGTCCAACACTACTGGTCTGGCAGATGGTTCTAGTGCTCCAGTTGTCACTGCTGCTCCCAAACCACTAGCTGAAGCCCTGTGCCAGCAGCAGCTATTTTCCTGATGGGATTTGTAACTCTGCCTTTCCAAGGTGCATTGCTTCCTTCTTCCCACACTCACCCACTCACCATTTGGACCTCTAAGCCCTAAAACAGATGCCAGCAGGAAATAGATCATGCCAGGTCCAACAGGCCAAGAGAGGCAAAGCTGCTGCTCCTTGTGCATAGATAGATAGATAGAGATATAATATATAATATATATTTTTTAATATATATAATATAATATAATATAATATAATATAATATAATATAATATAATATAATATAATATAATATAATATAATATAATATAATATAATATAATATAATATAATATAATATAATATAATATAATATAATATAATATAATATAATATAATATAATATAATATAATATAATATAATATAATATAATATAATATATATTTTTTAATGTATTTATTTATATTTATAGTGCACCCCCAGTGGCCACCCCATGTACCTCCTGGTCAACCTGGAGAGCTCTTCCCAGTGTCTGAAGCAACTGGGTGTCAATCCTGTAGTTTACAGGGGTTTGTGACTTGGCTTCCCATGTACCTCTCTATGCTTTCCTGGGTCTGTGCAGATAGGCTGGTGGGTCTCCTGTGGTGGGCCTGGTAGCAGCCAGGACCGCTTATACTGAGCAACTCTTCCTGCCTGTTTTCTCTATGCCTTTCATTTGCTTGGTGCAGATGGGCCAAGCACTTCCTCTAACATAACAGCTCTCCAGTGCAGCAGGATTTGTCTTGACAAATCTCAAGTACTGGGAAGGGGAGTTCTGGGTGTGGAAAGTGGAGAGCAATTGATGGTGTTGTTTGTCCAACAGGAACAAAAGGAGAGCCTGGATTTCCAGAAATATATAGTAAGTTTCTTCCTAATTCTTCACGACACTGGTCAGCTTTGCAGAGTGGATGGTGGTGGACTACCTGCACCAGAAATCAGGACAGGATAGGAACAGAAAGAGTGACACTGAATAATAGAATAAGGAGATATCACTGTTATCTTTGGTTCTCACAGACACATGCATCTTCTGTGGGTCTACTCTGTACTCCAGCCATGCTGTGAAAGTCAGGTTCTCTGAGCACTACTTAAATGTCCTCTCCTCTGTGTGCCCTCGAGGAGGTGTATGTGAATTTTTCAGACTTGGTGTCCTGATTTCTAAGATGAAACCACTACAAACACCTGAATAGACACGTGGTTACTTCAAAGGCTGTTATACTCCTGCACTTGCAGTGACACCTTTAGTACTTGCAGAGTGCATGTGTGCAACTTATTCATTAGAAGAGAAGAAGAAAAACAAAAGAAACAATTTTCAGTTGCTCCCTCTGTCTCCATGAGCTAAAGTTCGAGGAGAGCTACAACCTCCTCTGACTGCAAATGGGTGCTGTAGGGCCACAATAAAGGCTCAGACAGATCAAAGCTGCTGTAACACCTGACAGACTGGCATGCCACTGAACTTGTTCCTTGCTGCCCCAGGCACTTCTCTGGGCATGTAAAAGATTTGACTAATAGGAAGGAAAAGGAAAGGGCCAAGTCCAGGACCATCTCCCTGCTAGGGAGGTCACAAGACAGCCTGGTACAGCTGTGTATCCATGTATCACACACAGCACACTGGGACACCTGCAACACCAGCTAGCACACTGAGCACCAGACAACCACCTCTCTGATCATCCCCCCAGGCTTTCCCGACAACAGCTATAGGTTGGGATGTCTGATAGGGACCATTCAGTCTCCTGTGAATCTGAAGTTCTGTCAGCAGGTATGGTTTTGGGGAGGAAAAAAGTATATATAAGATGTATATATGTGTATACATACATACATACATATATATATATGTATGTATATATATAAAAATGTACATATTCAAAAGCACTGTTTGTCTTGGGGAGACCTCAGTGTGGCCTTCAAGTACTTAGGGGGTGCTTATAAAAAAGCTGGCAGGTGATTTTTTTTGTATGGGCAGTGATGGGACGCTGGGGAATGATTTACAGCTAAAAGAGGAGAGATTTAGATTAGATATTAGGAGATGAATCTTTACTCAGAAGCTGGTAAGAGCCTGGCATGGGTTGGCCAGAGAAGCTGTGGCTGCCCATCCCTGGAAATGTCCAAGGCCAGGTTTGGATGGGACTTGGAGCAACCTGGTCTAGTGGAAGGTGTCCCTGCCCATGGCAGGGGATGCAATGAGATGAGCATTAATGTTCCTTCCAACCCAAACCGTGGGTATTTCTATGATTCAATCCATAGAGCATGAGCTGAACACTGTTCACTGCATCACAGGGAGCTGCCCTGTGTCACTAGCTCCTTTGCTGTGAACTACCTACATACTCTCTGTGCCCTGCATACATTCTGGAGCTGGGGCAAATTTCTGGATCATGAGTTTGTTGTCTTTTTAAGAACTGCTCCATCATCCAGACTCCCAAAAGTCATTGCAGATGAGAGGAGTCTCAGCACCTTAGACCATCTTTCTTAGAAGATGCCCATCTCCCCTGCAACATATGAGCCCAGAAGACATGGCAGGGTTTGGCTCCCAGCAGATCTATATTAGGATTCTGCAGTACAAAGAGCCAACTGGGTGCTGAAGGGCTCAAAGGCTCAAGGCTGATGTGCTTCTGTGATCAGTAAACACATTATAACTCTTTCCACTTGATCTCTTTGATTTGCACAGAACCGGGGAACTGCCAAGAACTGTTGGCCAAAGGGAAGATTTTGAGTGGCTGGTACACAATCTACCCCCAAGACTGCAATGCCACCACTGTCTTCTGCGACATGGACACAGATGGTGGGGGATGGATTGTGAGTAGGATGAGAAAAGGGAGGTTATTGTTAAGGCTGCAAAGGATGGCAGCTGATGTTCTTGTTAAGGCTGCAAAGGATGGCTCAAAAATAGAACACACAGCCAAGGTTCACATCTCTAAGCCTGAGTGAATCCTTCTGGATACAGGGGATTCCCCCAAGACTTGTCTCTGAAAGCAGGCTGAGTGCAACACACCCTGCTTAAATCAGCAAATCATTTCCTCCTCATTTCCAAGGGCATATGGAGGAGATCATTGAGTGAGGCATTATTGTGGGGTTTGCTCCCCAGACACCCACAAGAGTGTCCTGATGCAGGGGAAGCATTTACCATGGAGGACATGTCCCCCAGGCACTGTGGATGCTTTTGCATGAGGGATGGGCTGGTGGGTCTGAGGGTCTCTTTCAGGTTTTTCAGAGGCGCTGGGATGGGTCAGTGAACTTCTTGCGAGATTGGGATTCATACAAACGAGGCTTTGGCAACCAGCTGACGGAGTTCTGGATGGGGAATGACAACATCCACTTCCTCACCTCTCTGGGTAAGGTCTACCTCTCTCCCGGGCTGGAGCCATGAGAGTCCATCTCCTATACCCACATTGGGTCATTACAGACCGCTGAGTTTCTCATATTCATCTGAGGACCCCACTAATCCCAAACAGGATGCAGGCTCTTTGCAGCCTATTGCATACAGGAAATTGCACTCTAAAAAAAAAAAAAAAAAAAACAAAAAAAACCCACAAAAAAAAACAACAGAAAAAAAAAAAAAATAGAAGTCAGGGAAGAGAATGAGTTGGCTGCATGATCTATCCTAGAGACAGGCCAACACATATTCTTCCTACTTGGACTGTTTGTGATGGCATCATCTGGTCCACAAACAGCCTTGGAGTTGCAGCTGTGTGCAGAACTCCTGCTCATGACCACCCAATATCATATCTGAAAATGTGTTCTCTAGAAAACCATCAAAGGTAAAGAGACTCTGTGGGAATTTTAAATAAATCAAAATCTCTCAAGTAATGGCAGCTCCTCTCAAGTTAGCTCACAACATCTTAAACACTCCGCCGTGAAATCCAATGGCGTACCCACCATCCTCCCTGCACCACTGCTGTCCATCTTCTCTTCTAGGGCCCTGTGAACTCCGTGTTGATCTGAGAGACTTTGAGAACAACTGCTATTTTGCCAAGTATGCTTCATTCAGAGTGTTAGGAGAGTCAGAGAAATACAGACTGGTTCTAGGAGACTTCCTTGGTGGAAACGCTGGTAAGTTTGAGGCAGCTCACTGGAAAAGTCTGTTTCCTAGAGCATTTCAGAAGTGTTCAGCTTCTATGCAGAGATGTATAATGCATACTTCTTGTATCAGCTACATTTTGAGTCAATTTTTTAAAACTGGCCATGGTACCTCAGGTACTGAGTGACCTCTGGGTACAGGGATGGAGGGGGACACCCATCACCCAAAGAAATGTGACTCAGAGCATCACCTTCAAATTCAACCCTATGGTTTAATAGCAAATGAGCCTGGTCCTGAGCAGCACCCAATCCAACTGACCTTCCCAACAGTTCTGCATCAGCCAGGTCAAGGTCTGCTTTTGATTACATTGGCAGGAGACATTTGCCCAGGAGGTCTGGCATTTCCAGGGCTGGGGTGCTGTTCAATACTTGCAGCATCAGCACTCAATCATCTTAATATCCGATTTTTAATTTTTTTTTTTTTAAGTAAACCAATCTTCTTCAAAATTCAATATCCATCATTCAAGAATGAGTGAAATGAACACCAGAGAGAGCAGTGCTCTGGGTTTTTATGGCTTTGCACACTGCAACCCTGTCTGATAATTCAGACCTCAGCATATCTGCAGAGAACCTGAGCATTGCAGGAGAAGTGACATCTGTGTAGCTGTGAAAAGAATCTGGCCCACTTGATTCACAGGCATAGATAAATTCTCCATGTGTTTTAGCAGAGCTCAGGATGCTTTTGTCCAAGACAAGAAGGAAACAGGGGCAACCTGGGCAAGAGAGGAGCAGGATTTATACAACCTGCCTTGCACCTGACAAGGGCCACTGGTGCCCAGAAGGAGTGCACAGAAACATCGATGTGTCCTGTTTGTGATCCCTACTGCAGTAACTGTGAATGTGTGCTCTCTGCAGGAGACTCTTTATCGTACCACAGGGATATGCCATTTTCAACAACAGATCAGGACAATGACATGAGTTCCTTTAACTGTGCCACAGAATACAAAGGAGCGTGGTGGTACAATGACTGCCATTACTCCAACCTGAATGGGATGTACTGGATGGGTGTGCATGGGAGCTACGCTGATGGCATCAATTGGAAGACAGGCAAAGAATACCACTACTCCTATAAGCAAACGGAATTGAAGTTCAGGCCAGTTTAACATGGTGACAGGGTGCCTGACTAGATCCAAGAGGTGCCACTCACCCACCAACAGAAGACGCAAAACAATATTGTCTGGGGATAAAAATGCACCAGAAAGGACATTACAGGTTGTGCCTTCTGCCTAGGGCAGGATTTTTGAAGCCAGAAGATATTGGTGCTGGTTTGAGCTCCTGTAAGAACCAGACCCTGACCCTCTCTCACCCCGACTACCTTCAGCAGCCCCACTAATGCAGACTGAGCCCAAGCACCATTTTCTGAAAAGTGCATTACCTTGATTTAAAGACCAGGTGATGGGTGGGGCCAGCGTACCTCAGTAAAGCTCTCTGATATTATTACCCTACCGTATAATCCATGTATATGAAGACTCCAATATGCATGCAGCCTCTTTCTGTTAGACCCAAGAGCCACACCCGAAAGGCACTGAATTCCTGATCTGTCCCACCCTCCCTGCAGGCTGGGATGGAGCCACAACATAGAACAGCATGGAAAAGACTGAGCTTCTAGTACAGCACTGTCAGCACTACCAGTTTCCCCTTTCCTTCCCCACGTGTTCCAAGACCTCAGGTGAGATCCCAGCTCCTGGAACCACAGCAGAGTTGCTCAGCACTTCCCACCAGGACACAGCTTCAGCTGGGCTCAGAGCCAGCTTTGGCCATTCTTCCAGAGCATGTTTCTAGATCTCATTAGCTGCTGTGGACCAAGAGCTGTATGCAAAATAGTCTGTTCAGCAGCATGTGTGGTACCAAGACACTACAGCAGTTACAAGTCAAGTGTGTGGTCATCGTGTACAGTGCCAGCACCTTCCACTTCATCTTGTTTCCAGTAGCGTTTGAGGGTGGGCTATCTGCTTGGGGGTGGACACAATTCATCCTGTTCATGTATTGTATTTGACTATTAGGAGAACTAGGTCTCTTCTTCCTGATATAAAATTTCGATAGCCAAACTCAATTTTATTTCTGTGTCTTTTATTTTAAAGAAAGCAAGTAAGCAGCACTGGATGGCTGGGGAGTCACCATTCCACTAATGGCACTCACCACTTACAAGTTCAGCAAATTATATATACTGTTTTTAAGCCTACAAAGCATTTTCCAATGTGTTTGGTTAGTCCAGATCAGCAAATATCAATAAGCTGGGATCAGCAATTTCATAATCTTTCCAGGTGGCCGTTGGCTTCCTGTCCTTCTTGTGGTTGTCTGGAGGGAGGCCTTACACTGGTGTCTGCTACATTATTTTGTCAAGTTCATCAAGCTTTTTATTATACATAAGCATTTTAGTTGCTTTGTTGCAATATTCCTTTAGCTTTACTACAACTTCCTCTATTTTATTCCAAGCATCAGTCATTTTGCTGCCTCATCTCTTTACTATACTTCTATTTGGCTATTTGGTCAGAAAATTTCAATTGCTGATTCCATTGCCAATTGACACAATTGCATTTTTCACAAAAGCATTTTTCACATTCCTGCACTTGTGCTGCTGTACTCCTCACCACAGTTGACTGAGGGTTGGCATCTCCTGACTCACTATGCCCTGTCTCTGTTTACTTCTTTTCAGTTACACAAGAAAGAGTGTGTCTGAGCAGAGAAGCTTTTGCACACTGAAAGCCCCATAGTTACTTTTCCCTCTTCAGGAGCTCCATCTTGTTTTTCTCCTACTCCCATTAAGATTCACATGCCTTCACCAGGAGCAAAGTCCCAGAGCATTCAGCTATATCTCACCCATCAGCTGCTGATGCTGTCTTCCAGGAGTAGCTTCTCAGAGGTCCAAGGTACTACCAGAGACTTCTCTGCAGGTGCTGACATACTCAGCTATAAACTAGCTAAAAGTGCTAAAGCCCCTTTTTCTGCTCATCTCTAGCTTCTCCTCTTACTACACAGAAACCTTCAATTGTTACATTGTGCTCATGGCCATCCTGTTCCCCCTTCCCCGGGACCCTGTGACTGATCAAGATAACCCTGTACCCCTCCTTCCTGCCCCAACAGGGTTGGCAGAGAGCCAGGGAAGCCCACCCTGTCCAAAGTCTATATAAACCCCTGACAATTCCTGTTCATCCTCTTTTGCCCCTCTCTCCACAAGGACATCACAGAATAAAGAGAGCTGAACCAACATATATTGGGGTAAGAGCCTCTTTTAGAAATCTTTGCCATCTCCTGATATTCCTCCCCTCAAAGCCTCGGCTCTTTGGGCTAGCCTGATAATTCAGGGGGCTGAGAGGGAGGGGAAGGTCATTCAATGTTTAAATTTTGCTTGTAAAGGACACTGATGAGACTTAAACAGACTACTTACTACACAGAAATAAAAAAAAAAACTATTAGTAGATAAAATACAGTGCATGATAAAGGTACCTATTACATCTAGTGAAGAAATAGTATAGATTAAGATACAATGTAATTTACCACTAAATGGATGATGGACTACACATCAAATTCTTCCTCTCAATTCCCAGGAAAGTAACCACGGAATTTGATTCCAAACTCCAGGGAGAAGTCCCTACATGTTTCCAGGGGGTATGTAGGAGGTTTCTACCTCCACGAAAACTTGTGTAGCTTTTATAGTTTTGAAAGTAGTGTATTTCAGTCGGGAATTTCTAGCTTATCTCCCCACATCTGTTCTCACGCCCAGTTGTTTATTGGGAGTTCTACTCCTGGCACCAGAGAAATAATTAACTCACTAGCCTTCGAGCTGGCCTGAGTTATCACATAATGTGGAGGGGAGAGTATCCAGAGCTGACACACTAGCTACAGATAAGATCTTCTGTGGTAGGGGGGATGTCCTGCCACACTCTTGTAGGGGTAGCATGTGCAGGAAGATTCTGGCCTTACTTTTGCCTGCATAACATTGTGCTTACTGGCTGCTCTGCCCAAAGAGCCACTGCTGGCAGAGACAGCCCCTCTGCCACCATCAGCCCACCCACGCCTGCCCACAGGCAAGTTCCTATTTTCTGGCTTACAAAAATCACTCCTAGCTTTTGGTGTCTCTGAAACTTACTCAAAGATGGATCTGCCATTCTCCTGCAAAACACAACAGCAAAGTTGCATTGAATCTCCCATGTACGGCCCAACAATATCCTACTCCCAAACAACATAAAGGAAGCATTCTTTTCAGAGTAAATTCAAAGCAATGGACACTTGCCAGAAGTGCATGGACTGCTCAGGTTAAGAAAAGCCAACAGTGAAAGTTTAATTTTGGGGGGGCAGAACCCCTCACCAGCACTCACTGACACCCTCCTCAGCATACACAGCTGCCCTTTAATGTGTGCCCACTCCTACCTAGAGCATGGTGCTCCAGGTCCTGGCAGCAGTCTGCGACCAGGTGCCACTGGCAGACTTGGTGCACCTTGGGGCACTGACCATGGCACGCCTCAGGATGCAGAGTGCACAGTCCGCTAACTCTGTACAGTGTTGGTCCAGAGAGCAGGGGTGGCCAACAGAGCCAGTCTCATGCTGGACAGGCTCTGTGCAGCATAGCCCCAGCTTCCTGCAGCAGCTTGCCCTGCTGAGCAGTGCAGCCACATCACTCCTCAGTGAACTGCCACATCATTGTTACAGTGCCTCCAAACCTGACCTCCTGAAGAATATTTTTGGGAGGCTGGTGCTGTAACACCACTTTGTGCAGTTTTTGATAAGCCTGCACATAGATTGGTGTTACCGCTTGGTCACCTGGCTGGCACAAATCTGCATGGTGCCTCCCAAACACAAGGCTCAGCACTGTGCCACTCCCAGTCCCCTGCACTCCACCGGGACATGGCTCCTCTGTCCCTCCAGTGCTGTCATGCTGAACTCTGGTTCAAGGCAGCAGGTAGCACGGCCCCGGAAACACCCACACAGCACTTTACAGGGATAGCAACAGCAGAAGATAAGGTCAAACCTTTCTCTTGATGTCCACCATGCCAAACCAAAGTTTCTCTCAGTCAGACATTGCAGCCCTTCTCATCATAATCTCACTGAAACTGAAAGAAGTTGATCAATAGTCAATTGATCAATAATTAAGTCAGCAAATATTAATTACAAGCCTAAGAAGCAGGACGCATCTTAGCCTTGTCAAGATAAGAGAAACAGAATGCACCTTGTCAAAGTAAGAGGAACAAAACCTATTATCAGCAGAAAATGCTGAACCAGCCAGCAAAGGACTGTGCATGCTTCAGAAAGAAAGGTTAAAAGTGCAAAGTGAGGAAGACTAGCAGCCTTCATCAGAATGACCCCTAAGGAAGACTCGGAGCCTTCCTCAGTGCGACCACCAGAGTACATTGTGCTTGTGTGTTACATATGCTAATGATAGTAATGATTTCCTAAAAGTAATTTGTATCACCACTCCAATCCCAAGGAATGTAATGAAATATGCTTGAAATTTAGCCATATATTGTGCTGTGTAAAAGTCCTGAGTGTGTTAGGAGGAGAAATCCCTTATGTACCCAGCACCAAATAAAGCAAATACCCACCTCACCGAGTCAGTCTCTGAGGTGACTCTTAGCTCAGCATTGGAGTGAATCAAAACAAGAGACCTGTCCCATAGTGTTCTCCTGGGCTACACCAATTCCACAACCCTGAAGAAATCCAGCTGTTACTTGAAGGCATGGCCTCACCTTCCTCTACTTAAGCTGCCCCTGCCTTTCCTCCTGGGGCTGGCACAGGCCTCTGCATGGACTCTCTTGTGAGTTGGACTCGAAGACCAATCCCACAGAAAATTAATTCAACAGAAGAAAAGCATACCTCCTTCTCAGCTGGCTCAGCTCCCCGGTCCTGCTTTTTATGCAACAGCATGAACCTGTGCATGGGAGGTAAAGCAATATGCAGAATAAATAAATAAATAAATAAGACTCCACAACTTGGGGTAGTTATGAATTGGGTATGTATTGTCAGCGCCCAGCACAAGTGAGATAGCTCTCCAAAAATTTGTGCGTCGCGCATCAGTCTGACCCACACTTTTATTTAGAAAGGTGTTCCATATGCAGTACATTGCACAACTTTGCCATGCATATTCAACCCTTGGCCCCGCCTGTCCTTGCCTCTCATGCTAAATAGGTCCACGCCCTTCTATGGCATATGTGGTTTGTCATGGTGGTCCTGTGGGGATCTCTGGTGGTTTCTTGAGGCTGAAGACCGTGTTCTTCTTCATGGTTGAACTTTTGAACTCTTCCTCTCTGTGCGTGCTCTTTCAGTCTTTTGGTGCTTATCTGAGAACCATCTGTCAGTCTTGACAGACTTGGAGACAGAGGAGCCTCTTTATCTGGGCTCTTTGCATTTTTGGTCTTTTCTGGTATTGTTCTTTATGCAAGAAGCTTCAGAAATTTGCATTTTTTATGCCCTTTGTATCATGGCAGAGGTTTCTAAAGTAAAAGGTTAAAATTTAACACATAACTCTACAAGCTGGAATATAAATACTTAATTAATTTTTTAACTTAAGTGAACTCTGTGAAAGACAATAGCATAGTTTTTGTTCATCAGGAAAAGCCCCAGGGATTGTGTAAGTCACAGGAAACAGTGGGGCAGGAGGGCAGGATGTATTGCTATTAGTAGATAGTGGAATTGAGAGATCTTTGAAAGCTGCGTTACCATATTTAAAGAAGTTATTGCAGGGTTAACGCTACCTCGGAGGAAGAAGAATAGGAGCTTTCCTCAAACGACCACCGGACAGCAGACAAAGACCCCTCGCAACACGCCACGCAGATGCAGAGCACGTCGAGACTGTCACAAAGTCTGGAACTGAAGGGGTATGAGAACTGAAAGACCGGGAGGTGTGGTGCGAGCCGTTGGTGGGAGCAGAGGCTCCCCGGCCGCCCAGCGCTGCATTTGCCCGTACTGCTTGCTTGCTAAATTAATAAAATTCTCTTTATAAAGTGACACAAATTGGTCCCGTGTCATAATTTATAACAATATTTGGTGCTGTGACTCGGATAGAGAAATAGCCCGGTTGTTCTGGGACCCTCAGGAGGCGCCTTGCCTTTTTTGGCGGCCCGATTGTTCCAGACCTCCCGGTCTCTCTACCGACAAACCTAAATTAAGCTGCGGACAAAGGAGAGCCGGTTAAAAGGAGAACCGGTTACCCCTGTAAACTTTGTGCACGAAGATCCGAGCGAAGACGCAGGACGCGTAAGTATATGCCGGTTTCCCGCTCGGTTTGGGGTGGTTTTCCCGGAGTGTTGTGTGTGAGAGGTCTCATAGAGACCAAGTGAGTGCGAACCCTCAGTAGTGCAGTTCCCAATACCCGAGAGGGCTTGGGCCACGAACCAGGGGAGTGCGTGTGTGAAAAATTGAGTGCTCTCCAGAAGATGGGACAGAGGAAAAGCAAGCCCTCTGGTCCCATGGGTGGGGGAACCCCTGCAAAGCTTCCCCAGATTCCTGAGGATAGTCCTCTAGGAGTAATGATAAATAATTGGCATGCCTTTCCCAGTAGGGGAAAGGGAAAAGATAAAGCAAAAATGATCCACTATTTTAAGGAGGTTTTGGAAAAGTTTGGACCCAAATTTGGGAGGTTTGGACCCAAATTTGGGAGGTTTGGACCCAAATTTGGGGGATTTTAAAGAGGTTTTAGAGGTTTGGAGCCGAGTTTGGAGGGTTCTGTCCCAAATCCAGGAGGTTCTGACCCAAATTTGGGGAGTTTTAAGGAGATTTTAGGGGGTTCTGACCCAAAACCAGGAGGTTCTGAGCCGAATCTGGGAGGTTCTGACTGAAATTTGGGGGTTTGGAGGCAGAATTTAAAGACTTGGACCTGAAATTTGGAGGTTTTGACACAAATTTGGGGGATTCTGACCCAAATCTGGGGAGTTGTGACCCAAATATGGGGGGTATGGACCCAAAATTAGGAAGTTCTGACCCAAATATGGGGGGATTTGACCCGGAGTTTGGGGGATTTTAAAGAGAAAAGGAGAATTATAAGGGAAATGGGGATGAGAACCTAGGATAATAAACATCAACAGGGACCATTAGCAGACACTAAAAGGCCCCTGCAAAATCCCCAATGGAATAACCAAGACCCGCAGCATAGGACCCATATGGATGACCTGCGGAACATAATCATACAGGGCATTAAGAGAGCCGTCCCGAGGGGACAGAATATGCAAAAAGCCTTTAAGGTGCAGGACGAGAGGAGGAGGCAGTGAGACAGGAGAAGGAGATTCTCTCAATCCCAGCCCCGAGGACTAAAAGGCAAGTAAGGCAATTATTGGGACTATTTCGGTACTGCAGGTAGCGGATAGGAAATTTCAGTGGAAAGATAAAACTTTTATATGTGTCATGGTTTGACGCTGGCATGATGCCAGCACCCCATGAAAATGCAATTTATCAATTAAATATTGTGAAATGCAATTGAGAACAGAGTAAAGCAGGCTAAACTTAATAATAAAGGAAAAAATTTATTATACTATTACTACTGTTACTATAAAAGGAAAAGAAAGAAAAGGAAAAAACTATACAAAATTTAAAATAAAAACTTTCTAAAATATTTCTCTTCTTATTACTTAACTCTACTAAATTATAGTGAGACTCATTTGGATCTTTAATTAAGTTTTTATCTTTTAAGATAATTAATACTGAGTTTATTGAGGAAGAGAGGAGTCCCCCTTGTATTACAGACTCTTAGGAAACACAGCTGCTACCTCTTGTGTTTTCATGTTATATGTGGCACTGCTCAGACACACTGGCTAGTGTGACACACTCTTTTTTTTATGTTACAGTGTTCTTAATACTGTGCAGGGATAGAGATTGCTTATAGGGCTCTTTTAAGTATGCTTTGCTAAGAACTATTAGGAACAATAGTCTAGTGTTTTATTTCGGGACTATAATCTCTCTCATTTTCCCCTGGGGCCGAGGGTCTAAAAACAGAGATTGCTTTTTTTTTTTTCTCTGAAGACGAAGGGCATCTTTACACTCTCTTTAGCTCTCTCCATCTATTCTTGAACTGGTAGTTGCTGAAGGAGGTCTGTACCTTGTGATGACCGGAACCAGAGAGAGCTAATTCTCTTGGGAATTCTTCTTTTAACCCCTCTGTGTTCTCAGAGGTGTGTCTACTTTTAATTGGTTATTTTAAGTGTCAGTATCTAAACTTGACTCTTGACTGGATTGACCTCTTCTTTCTAAAAAAAAAAAAAAAAAAAAAAAAAATTCTGTGTCAAAGCATGACACTATGATAAATTGACAAAGGATTACTCAAATAGTCACAAGAAGATGAGGAACAATTAGAGGCCCTTAAAAGAGAATTGAGTAATGCACCTGTACTTAGCCTCCCTGATCTGAAGAGACCTTTTTATCTGTTTGTTAGTGTAGATGGGGGGAACGGCATATGGAGTTTTGGCTCAAGATTGGGCTGGGAGTAAGAAACCAGTAGCCTACTTATCAAAGCTTCTGGATCCTGTTAGTTGTGGGTGGCCCACCTGTTTACAGGCAATAGTGGCAGCTGCTTTGCTGGTAGAAGAAACTGGTAAGATTACCTTTGGAAGCGAGTTAAGGGTAATGTCCCCACATAACATAAGGGGAGTATTGCAGCCGAAAGCAGAAAAATGGATTAAAGATGCTAGGCTTTTGAAGTATGAAGGAATCCTAATTTCATCCCCTAAATTAACACTTGAGGCCACTGCCCTCCAAAATCCTGCACAGTTTCTGTATGGTGATCCTCGCTCGGAATAAGCACATGATTGCCTCCAGAAAATAGAAGAACAAATAAAGATTAGACCAGACCTGGAGGGGGAAGAACTGGAAACAGGGGATAAGCTGTTTGTGGATGGATCATCCAGGGTACTTGAAGGGAAAAGAAGGTTGGGATATGCTATAATTGATGGGAAAACCCTACAGGTAAAGGAATCTGGTCCCCTGAGCCACAGCTGGTCCGCCCAGGCATGCGAATTGTATGCAGTATTAAGGGCTCTAAGATTATTAGAGGGAAAGACGGGGACAATTTACACTGACTCAAAAATATGCCTATGGTGTTGTGCACACTTTCGGGAAAATTTGGGAGGAAAGAGGTTTAATCAATTCACAGGGTAAAGGACTGCTGCATGATAAAACAGATTTTGCAGGCAATAAGGGATCCAAAAGAGATAGCTATAGTGTACATACGGGGACACCAGAAGGGCATGGGAAACACAATCAGAGGAAATAATCTAGCTGACCAGGAGGCAAAAAGAGCGGCACTACTAACTTTAAAATATAAACCGATGAACATGCGATGGGAGAATTGTACCACCTGTGGGGGTGGTTTGGAATGTTTTTGTGAAAGCCCTGAGGAGAAATATTGCTGTTCACATGGCCCAAAATTCATTTGAACATTTACTGTTCAAGAAAAACAAAAATTGGACTGAATGGGGGTATGGGAAAAAGAGGAAGGTAAATGGATATTACCTGATGGTCGGGAGGTGTTGCCAAAAGCGATGGCATTGAGAGTATTACAGGCAATGCACGGCAAAACGCACTGGGGAACTCAAGCACTAAGAGACCAATTTGCTATTAAAGATATGTGTATAGGGGTATATAACCTGGCCAAGCAGGTAACCAGTCGCTGTCTAACCTGCTTAAAGGTAAATAAGCAGCAGCAAAGAGAGAGAGTGATGGGTGGTCAGAGCTGGTTCACAGACCCTTTTCTCACGTACAGGTGGATTTCACAGTTACCTAAAACAGGAAGGTATAAGTACTTGCTAGTCATAGTGGATCATCTCACCCACTATGTGGAAGCCTTCCCCACAGCAAGGGCAACTGCACATGTTGTAGTAAAAATAATACTGGAAGAGGTTATCCCCAGATATGGTATATTGGTGGCGGTAGACTCAGACTGGGGCCCTCACTTCACCTCGAAGGTGACAAAGGACATTTTTAATACTCTGAGAATACAGTGGAAACATCACACCCCATGGCACCCACAAAGTTCCAGAAGGGTGGAAAGGATGAATGGGGAAATTAAGAAACAATTGACTAAGTTATGTCATGGGTAAAATGCTTACCCCTCTAGCACTGTTGAACATCCGTACCCAACCTCCACTGATGTGGGGGTTTCACCCTTTGAGATGCTGTTTGGGATGCCATATGATATTGAGGCCCCCATGAACCACCTATGTATAGAAAATTTTCAAATCAACACCTACATCACACAGATAATGAATAGGAGAGAGGAGCTCCAGAAAAAGGGGCTGTTAGTGCAGAGACAACCTTTGGACCTCCCCATTCACAAAATAAAGCCTGGGGATAAAGTACTTATTAAAACTTGGAAAGAGACCTGCCTGACCTCACATTGGGAAGGTCCGTTTGTTGTTTTGCTTACCACAGAAACTGCTATCAGAACAGCTGAGAAGGGGTGGACTCATGCGAGCCACGTCAAAGGTCCAGCCACCACAGACGACCACTGGAAAGTGACCAGTCAGCCTGGGGACTTGAAGGTTACCATTAAGAGAAACTGATGAACTCTCTATACATCATTCAAGTCGGTCACAAAGGGGAGCAAGAGGGATATAATTACCTGCTTGTTAGTGATTATTTGATAATTTGTAATAAGGTAGACTGTGATTGTTATCCTTTTGTATGCTTTGCATGTAAAGTTTGCCAAGAACGGTGGGGAGTCCATTGCCGAAGGGAGAGGCTGCCCACTGGGGTTTGTACAGAATGTTACACGACTGAACGAGAATTAACCGAAGCTGTGTTGAAATTAGGGGAGTTGGAAATCAGTGGATTCCCTTTGAATCTGAGGAAAATTTACACCAGAGGGGTGCATCCAGAAAACTTTTGTTTCCACTCTAACGAGCCCCCTCCATTTGTTGCCCAAATTATAAAAGAGTGTTGTTGAAGGGAACTAAAGGGGGTCCCGTGTAACCCACCCCCGGTCAAGGATAAGAACTGGGAACAGTACAAGGTTAGGCAGGAGCAGGAGAATGGGCGCTCAGGTGAGTACCGCTGCTGCCGAGAAGATGGTTTACCCCGCGGCTCGAAGCACCCGAGTCGGCGGGCAAGGCATTGGGGAAAGAGCCAGGCCCCCCAAAAATAGAATAATGCTGAAATGCTCCAACTATTGCCAGCCAAGTACTAAGTTCCTCCAGAAGACCAGTCTGATTACCCCCGAGACACCAACAGGGCAACAAACCCAAAAGGGGAAAATAAGACATTATATAGTAAATGCAAGGTCAGGACTCCACCCTTATTGGCAAATTACTGGTATTACAATGTTTTTTTTACCCTATACTAAGGAGAGGGCTCCCAAGCTTTACATCAGCCTTTTAAGTGGACACTAACCCGAGTGGATGGTGTGGGAATTCAGAACCAGATAACATCCGGATCCCCTAGTTTTAACCCACAGTTATGTGAACTAGCCCCTATAGAGCCTTGTTTGGATAGAAACGGATTTTATATGTGCCCAGCATCAAACCCAGGGAAAGGGTGTTGCAACTACCATGGAGAATATTTCTGTGGGCACTGGGGCTGTGAAACAATAGCTTCAGATTGGTCAGTAGCAGGAGATTAATTCCTTAAAGTATCATGGGGGCCTTATGGATATAAACCTCCGCAGAAGGATTCCAGTGGTAAAATTGTGAACTCGGAGAATTGTCATTATTAAGGGAAGGCTAGAAGCATCACACCTGATGCTGATTAGAGCAAAATATGAGTCAATGCCAGAAAACCTATAAATGGAAGAGATCCTAGTTATAAGCCACCAAGAATTACAAAGGTTTGATGAACAAAATGATGAAAAGACATTAGGGGGGATTTGTGAAAGACAATAGCATAGTTTTTGTTCATCAGGAAAAGCCCCAGGGATTGTGTAAATCGCAGGAAACAGTGGGGCAGGAGGGCAGGATGTACTGCTATTAGTAGATAGTGGAATTGAGAGATCTTTGAAAGCTGTGTTACCATATTTGGAGAAGTTATTGCAGGGTTAACGCTACCTCGGAGGAAGAAGAATAGGAGCTTTCCTCAAACAACCACCGGACAGCAGAAAAAAGACCCCTAGCAACACGCCGCGCAGATGCAGAGCACGTCGAGACTGTCACAAAGTCTGGAACTGAAGGGGTATGAGAACTGAATGACTGGGAGGTGCGGTGCGAACCGTTGGTGGGAGCAGAGGCTCCCCGGCCGCCCAGCGCTGCATTTGCCCGTACTGCTTGCTTGCTAAATTAATAAAATTCTCTTTATAAAGTGACACAAATTGGTCCCGTGTCATAATTTATAACAACTCCAAAAATCTCTGTTTCAGAGGAACCACAACGAACACCTGATCGGGGAGGAGATGCTTCCTTGTCCTAGCTCTGACCTAAGTGTACACAGGATGGAGTGGCCAGGTAACCTTTACCAGAGGTGCAAATTACAGCACTAGCTTCCCACATCTGCTATATTTTGTGAAAAATGTGTATTTTATGATTGGCTTTTCACAAATATTAAAACGACTATTACATGTGTTATGTTAGAAAGTTATGCTGTATTAATTCTCTTAAGTAGCGTGTTAAATAAGTTTTAGGTTATAACATAATGTTAAAATAGAAACTATGTGATATAAAATATTTTTTACTAGTTCAAGAAAGGGTAAGATAATCAAGAAACTCTTTGCACAGCGGTAACAGCAACAGGACACATAAAGAGCTACTGCCTCCTTATCAGAAAAGACACTCTTCCACCTTCTCTCCATCTTCATGGAACCACCAGGATTAAGGGGAAGAAGTTGACAAACACCAGAAAAATTCTTAATTTGCAAGGAATTTATGCATCATGTATAAGATATATGAATATGCAACAGGCTATTGCTTTTAAGGGTTATTACTTTGTTCACGAGGCATGTTTTTGGCAGTGTTATAAATTATGACACGGGACCAATTTGTGTCACTTTATAAAGAGAATTTTATTAATTTAGCAAGCAAGCAGTATGGGCAAATGCAGCGCTGGGCGGCCGGGGAGCCTCTGCTCCCACCAACGGCTCGCACCACACCTCCCGGTCTTTCAGTTCTCATACCCCTTCAGTTCCAGACTTTGTGACAGTCTCGACGTGCTCTGCATCTGCGTGGCGTGTTGCGAGGGGTCTTTGTCTGCTGTCCGGTGGTCGTTTGAGGAAAGCTCCTATTCTTCTTCCTCCGAGGTAGCGTTAACCCTGCAATAACTTCTTTAAATATGGTAACGCAGCCTTCAAAGATCTCTCAATTCCAGTATCTACTAATAGCAGTACATCCTGCCCTCCTGCCCCACTGTTTCCTGCGATTTACACAATCCCTGGGGCTTTTCCTGATGAACAAAAACTATGCTATTGTCTTTCACAGCAGCTTAGTGTCCAAAAACATCCGGACATCCGGAATTCTTTGGTTTTTTGTCTCGTAGTGTCCTAATCGTCATTGTCCAATTTTTTATTACTCTAATTTTATTACTATTTTTATAACTATTTTATTACTAATAAACTTTTAAGATTAAAAAAAACCCAAACAAAAAACCAAACCAAACCAAAAAAAAAAAAAAAAAACCAACCAAAAACAAAAACAAGTGATTGGCGTATTTCACACTTTTTAACCTCTGCAGTACACATTGGCACGGCCCCCTCCACCCCCAGGAGAGTCGGGAGGCGCGGGTCCGGCCCGGCCGGGCGCGTAGGCCGCTGGGCCGAGCCGCCATTCCGGAGCCGCCGTTCCGGAGCCGCCATTCAGGACCCGCGGCAGGTGTGGCGCTCGTGCGGTCACGTGAAGGGACGCAGGGCCGGCGCGTGATCCCCGAGCGGGGGCGCTGAGCGGTGCCGGCGGCGCGGCCGCTATGGAGTCGCTGCTGCTGCTGCTGCTGCTGCTGCTGCTGCTGCTCCCGCGGCTGCCGTCCGCCCACGCCGCTCCCGGTGAGTGTTTTGGCCCGGACACTTATGCCAGTCCCCCCTGCTCCTTGGGCCGGATCCCTCTGCCTGACCTCCTTCTTCCTCGGCTAGAGCCCCGGCCCTCATGGACGGGACCCTCAACTAGCTTTTCCAGGCACTGGGCAGGACCCCGAGCTAGCTTAGCTGGGCCGGAGCCCTCAGCCAGCCTGGGGAGCACCGGGAGGGCGCTCCGAGCTCCCCGGGTCCCGGTTCCCAGGCTGGGCTGTGCCGTACCGGGTGACATCAGTCGGTTTCCCCTGTACTGATGATGGCCCCTCCAGCTGCCCGGGTCGTGTGGCCCGGCCTGGAGGAGCGGCTCTTTCCGCAGGTGCGGGACCACTTCAGCTTCGAGACCTGCGGCAACGAGACCTTCCCGCAGCGGTACCTGGTGTCGGGTAGGTCCCGTGGGTGCTGTGGCTTCGGGTTGCATTCCTTTCTGCTTAAGCTTCAACTGCCTCTGTTTCGAGGTAAAGCAGGAGCTAGAGCACTGGGCAGCCAAGAATCAATATTAGCCAAGGGCCAGCCCTGTACCAGCCAAGCATTCCCCAGCATTGTCTATATCCTCCTCTCCTTTTCATCCACTTTTTACAAAAGCATGTACTTAAAGAACAAGGGGCCTGGCTTTAAACTGAGTAGGCTTAGACTGCACATCAGGAAGGAATTATTCCCTGTGAGGGTGGGGAGGCCCTGCCACAGCTTATGCAGAGGAGTTGTGGCTGCCCCATCCCTAGAAGTGTCCAAGGCCACGTTGGATGGGGCTTGGAGCACCCTGGGAATATTGGAAGGTGTCCCTGCCCATGGTAGAGGGGGGGAAGTAGATGAACTTTAAAGTCATTTCCAGCACAAACCAGTCTGGAATTCACTCCTTGCCTTCTGTTCTTGCAGAGTGGATTGTGGGGACTGGCCTCTCTGGAGCAAGAGTATACTAAAGCAGGAGCTGTGTTAGGCTTGCACCAGAGCTGGCTCTGTGTGTGTGTATCTTCAGTTGATGCCAGCATGTAATTCAGTGTTCTGAATGCATCAGGAAAAACAAACAGCAACTGAAATGTTGCACTCTGTACCGATCATTTTTAGTAGTAAAGGTAACTCCTCTTGGGTCAGTGGTTTGCAACTGTAGGTAGCTTAATCCATGTGAAACAATGAGCACTGCCAGCAAGGAGCCAGCTGTGTCTTACTTTTGTGTCACTGACAATAAAAGAGAAAAGGCTTTTTTAAACACCATGTGACTAAAAATAGAGCAGTTTCCATAACCAGTGTCCCAGGTTTTTCAACCCTGCATATACAGAGGAACTGGGGAGTAATTTTCAGGGAGAGAGCAAAGGTGGACTTGGGAATAGCAACAGACCTGAGCACTGCCCAGCTTGGTGCCCACCTGCTGCTGCCTCCCAGCTGCATTGGGGTTTTCAGATGCTCCAGCTCACATTCACATAGTCTGTTGCTCTGCAGCTTGTTCAGCACTTGTGCCAAGTTGTGTGTTTCACCAGGCATGAATTCATGAATGTATTTCAACCCAAAGACATGGACACACTAGTAAATTTTGAGAGCATACCCAAGGCTGCAATTTCACTAATTAGGTAGTCCTTTTTGAACAGGATGTTGGGATTACATGGTTTAAAGCACTGTGCAACTTCTGTTTGTTTTCTTTTAAAGTGTTATGTTTTATCTGTGAGTCCTGGGCAGAACTGAATAATATTTAAGAGAAGCAAAATATTAACAGTGCAGTTCTACTGTTTTATAGAGAGTTTCTTACTCAAAATTCCTGTAATTCCATTTCCCCCTACTGTTTTTTGTGCAATGTGAGACTTTTCAGATTATCAGCAAGAAAATAAAAACTAATTTCACAACAGGGAATCTGATACTCTTGAGTTTAGCTAGCAATTCCCCAGGGTTTTAATCTAAAAATAGATAACTTTCTAATGAGCCCATCTGGTTTGGTTTTGGCTCCTGTGATGGTTGTTTACTCCAGGAGCCATTAAACATATGAGAAGAGCGAGAGGAAAGAGAACACTGAGCACTCCAGTTACCTACCCACTATCCAAAGCAAATGCATCATAGTTAGTTGGCCTCTTTGTTAATTAAGAGGAGCAGTTTCACTAATGAGAGGTTTCAAATGCCATTTCAAGCCAAATCTGGCTTTGTCAATTCTGTGCTGAGAATGCCAAGAATAAATTTGGGCCTCTCTGATCATGGAAACAGCCTCATGTGACAGCAACATCCATGGGACAGCTGCTGGGCAGGGTCTCTTTGGATGATGTGTCGAAATCAGCACTTAACTGAAGGTCTGAAGCTTGTTATTGAAGAAAATTATTTATTAGCCCTCTTAATTCCTGTGCAGTTTATGACTAAGATAAAATCAAATGTTTGTTAAAAGTCAGCAGGCATTAGAGCAACTGTTTGTTAGATAAGCTAGTGTTGCTATAGGACACGAGAATGCACAACGCGAGCCACTTGCCACTTTGCAAGGTAAAAGAGAAAGTTTATTTTCTGACTCCAACTTTTATACTTCTCCAAAGGTGACAGTGGATTGGAGAGTGAATGGGCCACCTCTCCAAAGACATTGGACAAAGCACTAGTACATCAAGTCTCTCCACCCCCATGGAGGAATGCAAAACAACACGTTATTTACAGAAACTGTGTGGGAAAGTTTCCCAATAGAATGTAAACTCAGAAGGCTTTAGAAAACTCAAGAATCAGGGCGACAAGCTAGTGTTAGCATCGCAGCTCAGCTTGTCCTGCCAGACTCAATTTGCCTTTAGTTATAAAGTGATCTGAGGATGAAGCACATCATCTTCATATATCATCATATATATGTACACACACAGACACATATACATGTGTTATATATTGTCTTTGCTTGAAAAGAGAGGTGTTTGTAAAGAAAGGCAGGAGCCTCCCCTGAACTGGAAAATGTAAACCCCCTCTCTTCAAATTGTTACAATTTTGAAATTAAGGGGACTCTCAGGCAAAGGTATGAGAGCAGGAATAACAGTTCTTTATTGGGGAAGAAAATAAAAATAAAATAAACAGTGCAGTAATACAAAATAGCACTGACAGAGTCAGAATATGACCTGACACCCTGTTGGTCAGGGTGTTGGTAGCAGTCCCATTGAAATGGTGGCTACAGTCCTCCTGGAGTGGCAGATGTAGTTCTCTTAAAGCAGTGAACTTGTAGAAGGATGTAGTCTTCCTCTGAAAAACCAGTGAAGACAGCTGCTCCTCTGGGAATCCAGTGGAAAGGCCTCCCTGTGGTCTTCTGTATCTCTGCTTATATCCATGTAGGAATGCTTGGCTCCTCCCTCTGGGTGGAGCTTCTCACAATGGGATGATGTAATTTTAACATTCATGCTGTGGCACTCACTGGCCCATTAACATCAGATGTCTCCCCAGAAGGAGGATTGGTTGTGGAAGAGATAAAGAAAACTGATCAATTAACAGAAGATAACTGCCCCATCAGATAGGAGTAGTATACACCCCCCATTTCTAACCAAAGACACACATATAACATATATCAGCATATCCTGGGCTCCTCCTTGCAGTGTGGGCAGCAGATGTGTGGGGGGATTCTGTCCCTCTGCTCAGGTGAAATCCCACTGGTAGAACTGCCTCCAGACCCAGGGACCTCAATACCAGAAGGGTGTGGAGCTACTGGAGTGAGTCTAGAGCCCCAGCGATGATCTGAGAGCTGGTGTAACAGAGCATCTCACCCTCTCCCAAGAGCTTATCTGTTGTTTGTTAGCCAGTCAGGTATCTCAAACAGGACAAACTGTGTTACTGTGAAGTTTTTTGGGCCCATTGGTTAACACTGGTCTGGTATTTCCCAACTGCCCATAGCTACCTTACTGTTGATGTGAGATCTGACAAGATAAGCTGGATTTTGACTGACTGATAGCCATTCACTTTACAACTATAAAAGCCACCCCAAACTTTCACAAAGCAGAAATCTGCAAAAAAATATATATTTTCTGGAAATGTGTGGAATTTTTCTCGTGAGCAGGTACATCTGCTTCACAGTTACTCCTCAGGGGTTGAGTGAAGGAATCTCTCTATGTTATAGCCATTTCAGTAGTAAATTACATTTGACTTCTAATTAATACTATTTCTTTTGCTACTTTTAACATAGATACCTTGATATAGTGCACTGTTCTATGGTTTACTGTTACTGACTAGCAGTTCTTTAGTTTTATAGTGTGGAGTTGTCGGAACTCAAAATGTCCCTCAGACATTTTCAGAGGTTCCAGGCCTTGGTCAGAAGCATTTTAGACCCTGGCAAGCAGCTGAAAAGAGCTGTGATTTTGAGTTTGAGCCATGGAATGAGTTACCAACTTTGAAGGTGGAACAAGCGGTCACAGAGGGTTAGATGGTATAGTAAAAGTAGTTACAAATTAGAGGGGAAAATTTCTTAGTATTGTACAGGGGGGTTTTAACACCTGTACACGGGGGTTTTACTTTGTACAGGGGGGTCAGGAGTTCTAAGATGGAGGAAAGTGGGCCTGATCCTGTTCTTCCTCCTCCTTCTTCCTTGCCTCCATGTTGTTGGTGATGTTGGCACTCACAGATTGGTTTAGAGTAGAAAAGCACATTTTAACACAGATAGTAGGTATTGGGGAAAATCTGTAAACATATAATACGTAATAGATCATAAAAAAGTTAGCATCAGCCCTGGGCGGGGAGAGAGAAGACAAGCACACCAGGCAGTGAGGGTGTCAGGAGTGTGTGTGTCTCTGCCTGGGCCGCTGACCAAAGCAGCCGCAGTGGGCGAAGACAATCTTTTAGATAACTAGCAATAAACTGCCTCGAGACTGAACAACAAGTGGCTGCGGAGTTTTTCTTTGGAAGCAAAGGTTGGAGGAGAGACTTTACCACCGCACGAGACCCCTGAATCAATCCCGGGGTTGTCACATGGAGTGAGTAGTTCTGGTTAAGATCTTTTGTCTGTTATCTGTTGTCTGTTTAATAATTCATTTTATAAGTAGATCTGATTTGTTGTCATTAGAACTGTGAGCCAGAGTGATTCCTTCAATTTAAGATGTTGCCAAAATTTGAGGCTAAGGGCAGGGCTTGTCTGAAGCTCTCCTGCGTCTCGTGACAGCTGGAACTCCTCTGCTCTGGAGATAGGTTGGGAGAGTGGGTTTGTTCAGCCTGGAGAAGAAAAGTCTCTGGGCAAACCTTATTGTGGCCTTCCAGTACTTAAAGAACATTTGTGAAAAACAGGGGGAGTAGCTTTTTACCAAAGCCAGTAGTGACAGGACAAGAGACAATGGTTTGAAGTTTACAGATGGTGAATTTGGATTGGATGGAAGGAAGACATTCTTCCCTGGGGGAGTGGTGAGGCCCTGGCGCAAGTTGCCCAGAGAAGGTGCGGCTGCCCCGTCCCTGGAAGTGTTCAATGCCAGATTGTACAGGACTTAGAGCAGCCTGGTCTAGTTGGAGGTGTCTCTGCCTGTGGCAGGGGGCTTGAACTGGATGGTCTTTGATGGTTCCCCCCAAATCAAAGCATCCTATGAAATGTCATTTACAGCTTTATACATCACAGCAGGAGTATCAGAAAGATGCAGACAATTCCCTAATGTCACTTTTCTGTGAAAAATTAGCTATGCAAATGTTTTGGAGTGAGTTGGACTAAAAAGGGTATATAAATGGGAAATTGCTCTTTTGGGGTCAGCTGTCTGCAAAGGACTTACAGAACTTGAGATTTTCGGTATTTTTCAGGCAGAAGTGAAATTTTCAGACCGTGTAGTGATTTTATGGAAGCTCTTATTTACCCCCACCCAAATGAGAGATTTCTGGAGCCTCGCCTTTCTGACACCTTTGTGTCCCAGATCAGGTCTCAGGAATCAGCCTGTTCTCAGAGTTCTTCCTTGTTAAACTCCTACCCAAAACCAAAAATTGACTCATTTCATGCACATATTCTTTGTTGTGTTTTTGGGGGTATGTTGCAGCATTTTTGAGAGAAAGAGGACATGAATTACGAAATTTGAGCTACTCCAGTCTAGGCCTCAGATTGAGGCCTGGTGAGGCCTTCAAGCCTCTGACGCAGTTAGAAATTCAGAGCTTGTGGCGCAGATAAAAAATAGTCTTAAGGTGTTGTGGGGACCACTGGGTTGCTTGGGTGTGAATTAGTATAGGTTTTATGGTGTAAGGTGTAGGCCGTTTTAAGGAAAAGGTAAACAATATTGGTTTGCCAATCAGAGTGTCTTTGTTTTTGTAAACTATGTAGAAGCTTATATAAACTACCGCCTTATCTTGAATAAACGGAGAACGTTGCATTAATCATATTGGTTGGATGTGCGTTTGTCTTGTCCAGCTTTCCGTTTTTCTGAGATTCCCTGGCTTTAGGGGTATTATGTGTTTTTTGTGGGTTTGGGTGTTTTTTTAATTTTTATTTTCTTTCTTTCAATTGCCTCAGCAAAGTTCTGGAAGAAAGGATTTGGACCCATCTTTTTCTATACTGGCAATGAAGGTGACATCTGGACTTTTGCTCAGAACTCTGACTTCATATTTGAATTAGCAGAGGAACAGCAAGCACTTGTCATTTTTGCTGAACATGTGAGTATTTTGGTCATTATGCATCCTTTAGAGTCCTGTTCTGTTCAGTGTTACCAAATTCAGCTTTCTGCAGGTCTGGAATTGTGGTACCATTTCTTGCCATGGAGCTGAGTCAGACCAATAAGCTTTCTGGCCATGACATAAGATCTTCTTTCTGTAATCATGGCTTTTGAGTAATTTTTTTATTATGCCTCCCAGCACTCCAGGATACAGACTGCTGTTGCATTACAGCCTATGCCATGAATGATTTGCTTTTGTAAGTAGTTTCTGCAGGCCTTAAACTCCATGTTGGAGTAGAGAGATACTTTGTTTGGATAATATTTAATCTCTCTACCCTGCAAAGTCCCAAGCCAACCTTTCCCACACTACTCTGTTAAATCTACTATTGTCTGAGGCATGTTCCCTTTTGTAGCTGGGAGCTTCAGGAGAGATACACGTGCTGAGAACTCGCTTGGCGTCCACTGAAGCAGCTGTCATGTCCTGGCCATCCACTCCATGATCTGTCCTGAAAGTGTCTGTGTATCAGATGCAGGAGACAAGACACTTCCTCAGTTATGGACAAGTTAGAAGACGTTATCTCTTCCTATTAGTGCACACTGAAAGTAGAGAAGACCCAGACCAGCATTGCCATAGTGTATCTCTTTTGTTTCAGAGGTACTATGGGAAGTCTCTTCCCTTTGGACTTGAGTCAACACAGTTGAAGAAGACTGCTCTACTCACCGTGGAACAAGCCCTTGCTGACTATGCAGTGCTCATTACTGAGCTTAAGCAGCAGTTTGGTGCTGCAGACTGCCCTGTCATTGCTTTCGGAGGCAGGTAAGTGTTGTGTGGACTCCTTCCCTTCTCTGCGTCTTTTCCCAGCCAAAGTTACGCTGCTGTAGATCTCTTTTCCTCTCAAGAAAGTTCTCAATGCAGATCTTTAAGCTATCCTTTTGAGAGCGGATGTGCCTGTGCCTCAGCTCCCATGAGCTCATCACCAGGTCCCACTCTTCTTTCCCATCAGGAATTAGTCTCCATTTGTGGTTGCGTTGGAGAAGCACCCCTGATTGGATGTTTCTAAGTTTCTTTGATATCTGAATCATCCAGATCTGCACCAAAAAAAAAAAATAGCGTGGAAAGGGTAAAGGGAAAATAGCAGCCTTGCCAGTCATAAGCAATGGGATGGTGTGCCAAAACCTTAGGAAGCAAGCACTAATGGGGTTCCTCAGTCTGCTTTCACGAGGTGTTGGCTACAATGAACCTCGCCTGAAATGTTTCTACACTAACGCAAACTTTGGATCTCCCAGACACGATGATGACGCAAACAAATTATTCTTTGAGGAACTAAGGATGCTTTCAAGGCAACTTCCCTTGTCCTTATGGGGGACTTCAGCTTGCCAGAAATCAGCTGGGAGAATCACTCACTACAATCTAGGCCAGAAGATTCCCTGAAAAACCCAGATGACAACTTTATGGCACAGTTATTAAAGGAGCAGAATTGGAAAGATACCCTTCTTGATCTACTGCTTGTCAACAGAGAGGAATTTGTGAGCAAAGTGTGGGTTGGAGGTTTGTGTGGCCACTGTAACCATGATGCCATTGAGTTTAAAATCTCTTTTGACAGGAGAAAAAGTGCCAGCAAAACCATGAGGAGAGACTTCAGGATGTTCAGGCAATTATTGAGTAAAGGCCCCTGGGAAAATGTTTTTGTAGGTGATGGGGTCCATCTGTGTTGGTTATTTTTAAATATCACCTGTTGAGGGCAAAGGAGTAGCAATTCCCAAATGCTGAAAATCAAGCAGGTGAGGCAGAAGGCCAGCTTGGCTGAACAAGGATCTTCTCTTGGAAATAAGATGAAAAAGGAGGATGTATGCCCAGTGGAAGCAAGGTCAGGTGACATGAGAAGAGTACAGAGATACTGCTTCCCACTATAGGGAGAAAATTAATGTGACTAAAGCTGAATTGGAGTTGAAACTGCCAAAATTGGAGAATGATAAAAAGAGTTTTTTTAAGTACATTAATGGTGAAAGGAATGTAGAAATAACACTGGCCTGTTCTAGGATGAGGATGGTCACCTCACAAACAGGGACAGAAACAAGGCAGAGATGTTTATTGCATTCTTTGCCTATGTCTTCACCATGGTTGACAGACCAAAGGGGCCCCAGTGCCTTGAGCTGGAGGACCATGTATGCATGAATAATCACCTCCCTGTTGACCCTGAACATGTGCAGAATCTGCTGCTCCATCTGATTCCCTACAAATCTGTGGGGCCTGTTGGGATTCATCCAAGAATCCTCAAAGACCTGCTGATGTAATTGCAAAACCTGTCTTGATGATTTTTGAGCAGTCTTGGGAATCCAGAGAGGTTCCAGCTGACTGGAAGCTGGCAAACATTGTCCCAGTTTCCAAGAAGGGCAGGAAGGAGGACCTTGCAAACTACAGGCCTGCTAGTTTCACTTCAGTGCTGGTAAAATCTGGGAAGATCATGGCAAATATTATTCTGGGAGATACTGAAAAACCACCTGGAGGGCAATGGAGTCATTGTTTGCAGCTAGCTTCAGGAGGGGAAAGTCGTGCATGTTGAACCTGATTTCTTTCTGTGATGGGGTAACCCACCTGGTTGATCTGGGAGAGACAGTAAATGTCATTATTTTGGACTTCAGCAAGCTTTTGATGCTCTCTCTCCCAAAGATTTTTATGGGCAAAATGTCCAGCATATGATGGGTGAGCAACTGGCTCACTGGTTGGCACAAAGCGTTACAGTGTCTGGGTTAACACTAGGCTGGTGTCCAGTCACTAGTGGGATTCTCCAAGATTCCATCCTCAGCCCTTATCTCTTCTACATCTTTATTAACAACCTGGATGCAGGACTTGAAGGAATATTAAGTCAGTTTGCCAATGACTCTTGGGGTTCTGTGGTCAAGATGACCCCAAGATCGTAAAAAGTCTTTTCCTCCCAGCCCCGCAGCCAAAGAAGTCCAGATGCATCAGTTTTGCTTCTCAAGGTTGTTTGTTTTCTCCTATCTATAACATTTTTTCTCTGACCTGATAAGCACTGTCTACCAAGTCAGATCGTGGCATTCTGTCTGCCCTCTAGGGCAGTGTTTACATTTTATACTATGAACTATGTGCGCTCTTTTTATAATTAATGTCCTATACCCATCACCTATGTTATGCAGTGTGTCTCTACTCTAAACCAATAATAAGTGTCACCATCACAGTGAAAGATGGAGGACAAGGAGAAGAAGGACAAGACACACCCAAATTCCTCCATCTTACCTCCTGAACGCCATTCTAAAAAACACCAAAATTCTACTTTTTCACCCTTTGTTACATTAACTCAAATTCTTGTGACCTGAAAATCTTCACACAAAGTTGGCAGTTTTTTCCAAGGGCTAAGATCAAAGCCATGGGTGTTTTTGACTTCGTGCCAAGGTCTCCAAGCCCCCTGCGAGGGTCTTGAGACAGCTAGGGCAGCTGGAGGGATGTCCTGGGCTCCTACAAACTACTCGAAGGAATACTAAGTCAGTTTGCCAACAACACTAAACTGGGAAGAGCCGTTGACTCCCTTGAAGGCAGTGAGGCCCTGCAGAGAGACCTTAATAAGTCAGAGAGATGGACAATCACCAACCATATGAAGTGTCCCAATGGCAAGTGCTTGGTTTTTCACCTAGGATGGGGCAACACTGTCTGTGTGTACGGACTGGGGAATGAGAAGCTGGAGAGCAGATGTGGGAAGGGACCTGGGGGTCCAATGGCATATTGGATCTGAGTCAATAGTGCCGTGGCAGCCAGGAGGGCCAACCATGGCCTAGGGGGCATCAGACACAGCATTGCTGGCTGGGTCAGGGTGGCAAGTATCCCACTGTGTTCTGCACTGGGGTGGGGTCACCTTGTTTAGGGCACCACAATGTAAAAAATACATTAAGCTATTGGAGAGTGTCCAAAGGAGGGCCATGAAGATGGCGAAGGGTCTGAAGGGGAGGCCTTGTGAGGAGTGACTAAGATCACTTGGTTTGTTCAACCTGGAGGAGACTGAGGGAAAACCTCACTGCCCTCTTCAGTGTCCCGTGAAGGATAGCACTGATCTCTTTCACTCATGACCAGTGACAGGACTCAAGGAAACAGCATGAATCTGTGTCAAGGGAGATTTAGATTGCATATCAAGAGAATGTTTTTCACTCAGAGTGGTTGAGCACTGGAACAGGCTCCCCAGGGAAGTAGTGGTCATACACCAAGCCTGTTTGAGTTCAAGAAGAGTGTGGACAACACTTCCAGGCACAGGATGGGATACTTGGAGTGTCCTGCATAGGGCCAGGAGTTGGGCTCAGTGATCATGATGGGTCTCTTTCAGCTCAGCATGTTCTGTAACTCTAGGAAAATGAGAAATTCCTCCTGAAGGATCAGAACATTCTACATTTTAAACACAAGAAACTAGTAATTGGTAAAATATTATCTTGAGGGACCACACAGCTTTTTGTTAAACACAGCCTATTTAACAGCATCCAGCCATTTTCATTGTAGGCCTTTTCATAATTCTGCTCTGCTGCTCTTCGGTTCCTTGCAGCAGTCTTTTCTCAGAGTGCTCACTGTGCTACAGCTGGGTGGATGTGATGTCCTTGTTTCTTGATGGATCCCCTCTCTTGTAGTAGAGGGATGCTTCCCTCCAAAAGTCTTACAGAAGTACAGAGCTTTGAATTCATTCAATTGTGTGAAGTGAAAAGTGAGCTAAAAAGCATTTGGCATGATAGTTATCATTAAGCCTTCATCTGGTTGCGTTGTGGTGACTGAACTGTTGATCTCACAGAGGTTTATACTGTGACTATCAGGACAGTAGCTAGAGTGGAAAGGCCCAGAAGCTGTCCTGGGATAGGAAGATGGGAGAGGGATTCAGCAAAACCTCCTAGCTGGCTGCCTGTTAGACTGCATCTCTCTGTGTGTAATTGAGGGCTTAGTCTGCTGCAGCCCTGAACACACTAGACCCAAATGAAGAACACTGAAATATGGCAGTGCTGGAGAAGCACAGCATTTCCCAGGTGATAAAAAACTTCTGGTGCTTATAACTGTACCTGAAATTAACCTGAAATTACTTGTAGCAGGTTTCAGGTAATGCCTGTCTCCAGGACCAGGGCTAGAGAAATGCAAATTGCTTTACACATGGGTATTGTGGGAACAGTATTTACTGAACCACTTGTGGTGGTGCACAGGGAGATTGAGTGCTTTTAAACTTGGAGTTAGACCAGGTTTAATCTGTGTTTTGGGGATGTCATTTGCCACCCCCAATGGCCTCAGAGGAACTCTGCAACCATCAGCAAATTAATGACTGCTGTAATATTGGGTCTATCAAGCAGCTTTTGATCCATGTGTACATTGTGGCCCTGGCACTGAAGCTACCAAGGCAGCTTTGGCTTTTCTTGTTGCATTTGTTAACTTTCCTCCTTCCTTGTATCTGTGCTGATCAACTATGCAGCTGTTATTTGGGGTGCCCAGGGAGGATAGCCTCCATTTTCCAGGAGTCAAGTGGGCTGCCTGTTCTGCCATGTTCATGGACACCCTTTGCCAAAACTCTGGCAAAGTTCTGACTAGTTCTAACTAGTTCTTGTCATTCTGTATGCAAAATGTACAATGTGTCTTCTCTCTTTGAACAGTGAGTGCTTCTCTCAAATCCTGGTTTGCTCTGCTGTGAAGCTATCATGACATGCTCAGGATGGTGCAAAGTTACATACTGAGGCAGGATTTACATTGTCTACAGAAGCAAACTGAGCTGCTGTGTTCCCACCAGAGCTGATGTGAACCTTTGGGGAAAGGCTAGTAAGAGCACTATGTGCTGCTCATTGGCCATAACTGGATCAACATGATGATGAGGCACAAAGCATCACAGGCATCCGTGAGCATCATGCATATCACAGAGCATGTGTGAAAACATGAGGCATCACAGATATCCATAAGCTTATTGTTGCCTTGGTTTAGGTGAGCATGTAAATGTTAGCCTAAACTTCTGAGTTATTACAGTATAGGTTGTCTGTTAAAGGAAATAACTCTTGTCTCTCCTTGGTAGCTATGGAGGAATGCTGAGCGCTTACCTGAGGATGAAATACCCAAATGTCGTGGCTGGAGCATTAGCTGCCAGTGCTCCTCTGCTGTCTGTGGCTGGGCTTGGAGACCCCACCCAGTTCTTCAGAGATGTCACAGCAGTAAGTAGCATCTATTTTCAGGAGCAGTATTTTCTTCCTTTAGGAATGCTGTTTCTTTTTTATTTTCCACGTGTTTGAATAGATATCTGTCTTCACAGCATCACTGCTAAGCAGGGAGTGCAATTAAATGGCATCCTGAAAGGAAAAGCAGTAGCTGCAGGATAGCTGAACACTGTCTCCACTGGGGCAGCTCAGGGTTCAAAGGTGCTGCTCCAGGAAGCACAACTCCGTGCCAGTACCTTTAGTACCACTGAGAATTGACTTTCCCATTTCTTGTGGGCCTGAAAGTTTTCCTTTGTGCCTGGCTGAACTCCTTTTGGATAATTTATTTTTCAAATCCTCTCCCAAAATGCTGTATTGGTACCAATGATTCACAGCGCCTTCTTAGTGACTGCATGCCAAGGTGATTGTATTTCAGTGAAGAACTTGGAAATCTTCATTTCATAACTAAAAATGTGCAAGGTGACTTGGGATCACTTAAACTAAAATTTAAATGTGGCTTTTGCAGTTTAAGGCCATGAAAAGTTGGTGTTAGAACTGACTTAGATTTATCTAATAAGGAAGGAAACGTACTAGCTGGTTGTACTGAAATCTTGTGGTGGTGTCTGTTCTGCCTCTTTTTTGACATTAATTTCTAGATCTGGGTGACACAGATGACTTTGTATTAACTGACTTTGTTGTCACTCAGTTGGGGCTGAGGTCTGTGCCTGGTGCAGGAGCCAGTGAGCACACAGAGCTGAGACCTTTCATGCTTTTCTGCCCAGAATTATTGCTGGGCTATAGTTCATTAAGCTGGCACCTCTCTTTGGGGCATTTGCAGGCATTTATACAAGTTACAACAAAGAAGTTGCACAGAACTTGTTCGGGGTCAACTTAATCAGTGCATTTCTGCACATGCTCCAGTCAGTGTCAGTTCACTATACCAGGGTGGTCTGACATTAGCATGAGATGTCTCAGGGGTGATTTTTACCTTGCTCTTAGTCTTAGGTTACCTTAGGGCTGCCTTAGCATTCTTCTCCCCATCCCCCTGGTCTGGTGGTGATTCATCTTTGTTGACACATTCTTGTCATTCTTGTGTTACTTTGCTGTTACTCTCCACTTCAAGGACCACACTTTTGTATGTAACTTCTGGTCTCTTTGTTCTTATTTATATACGTGAACAACTTGTTTCTGTGCAGACTTACACAACAGACAGCTTTACCAGTAAGTTTAACGAAGAGACTGTTATATGAAAATAAACACATTTGAAACTCTTAAGTGCATAAAAGAATAATAGACATCTTGTCTTAGTGATACATTTTCAAACAAAAAATGTAATACCATTTTGTGTGGAATAATTCACAGCGCCAGAGGTTTGTGTCCAAAAAGGAGACAGAGGAGTCCTGTAATTTTATTCAAATAAAGGGAGAGGCCATGAGGCATTTCCCAAGGGGTCTTTCAAATGGTTGAGGGATGCAGCCCCCTTCTATCCTAATTTCCCAGACTCATCACCCTCTTCCTTTCCCCATTGGCTGAGGTACTTGGAAGGTACAGACTTCCTGAACCACATGCTCTATGTCCCCCTTTTCTGTGCACCCCTCCTTTTTTTTCTTTTATATAGCAAAACACGATTCATAATTCTATTAAACTTTTGGGTTTTTTTCTCTAAGTTCAGGAATTTAACATGATCTTGGCTGAGCAATGGTCCATGTCAATTAGTAACATTTTCTAGAGCTGGTAGTTTCTTCTGTTACTTCCCTATCTATAAGTCTCTGGCCCTATCTACAAGCAGATTCACAGTCTGTTTGTAAAGACACATTCATCTTATTCCTTTCCATTTAGTCCGCTAACAAGCCTTGTAGTGGGAATTCTTCCCTGGTTGAAGCTGATTTCCTTTCAGCATCCTTGTCTTGCTTCAGCTGTGAATATGCTGGTAGTCATTACATGCCCTCAAGCTTAGGGTATGAAAAAAACTTTCCAACTAATTTAAAAACCTTTTCATGTGAAAAAACCTTACAACTAATATAAAAATCTATTTTCTCTGCAGTAGTAAGGCAAGCTCTGGGCTGAGCTCTTAAGCAAGCGCTATGTGGTTTCAAAGTACTACCTTCCAACTTCAGTGTGGAGGTTGCTCTGATTTGCAATTTATGCATCTGAAATCTGATTGTTCTTGCTGAGAAGACCTGTGAGAGCTGTTAATCCCAATGAAGGCACATGGAATGACTGCAGTTCCTCCTGCCTCTGCTAAGCTGAACTGACTCTGGTCTGTAAGGGTCCTTATGCCAGGCAGTGCTTGGCAGCAGCCCAGCAGTGCCTAGAGAGCTCAGCCATCACAGCAGCCAGAGCAGACCTGCTTGTCTGTCCCAGGGCAAACATTCCCCACATGCCAGTTAGAGCCGTTAGCAGGTGAAGATCAATAAGCGCATCCAGAAGGATTTTTGGAACTCCTAAAGGGATGCTCAGGTAAACTGTGGAAAACTCCAAAATTATTTTTTTAAACATAATTATCAGACGAAGTTAGAATTAGGAAGAAAAGCAAGGTCCCAGATCTATTTTTTAGTTGAGGGTGGGTCTTGATTTATTAAAAAATATGGATATTGATCTAATACTGATATCCAACTGTGACGGACAAAAACTCTCTGACAGTTTAAAGTTAGAAAGTGTATGTTTATTCGACACCGGGCAGCATCCGGGATAGCTCCCAAATACACACCGCACCTTCCAGGTGATTACAGAGTCTTTTTATCCATACAAGTATTGAATACCCAAAATACAAATACATATTCATCATTTTGGTACATCCCATTCCTTGCTTCATATGCTAATCATTTCAAAAGCCATTCAGCATGCGTAGTTTGTTTCTTGAAATGGGTCGGTGTCCCTTTCATGGGCAGGGGTCCCAAGATGAGGAAGTAAGTGAAGTCTTCCTCGTTCTGACCTTTCTACCTTTTCAATGCAAATATGACAAATGAACTCTTGGTAGAACTCCCATTCCTTGTCTTCAGTTGGTTTCAGAACAGAGGAGGCCACAATTGTCTTATGTTCCTAAAAGCTATTTGTGAGTTTCTATATTCTTCATTATAAACCTAGCTAACGAAACATCATGCTGACAAACAATCAATTATTAGTTAAGTACTAACTCTTAACTTCATCAAGGTCTACTCATTTATTTTAATTAACTCTAGTAAGGCTTATCTCTAACTAAAATCTTAGCTCTTCTAAAATCTCTAAATTCCTTAAAATTTATGTTTCAGTCTTTATAAGAAAAACACCTAGCTAGTGATTTGTAGTTACTTACCTTGCTCTAGCAGCATAAAGAGACCTCAGAAGAACCCTAATAATTCTTCTTGTTACAAAACACTGGCTGCCAGCAGATCTAATCTGCCTTACAACTTGAGAGAGGAGAAAGAGCTTGAGTTCCTAGGGCCTTCAATCACAGAAACAACTTGATCCACCATAACCAGCCACAGCTCTTCAAACCTAACTTAAAGTGCTTTTTCAGGGTCAGTAATGGTTTTCCCAAGAAAAAGGAAATGTTCATTTGGCAGGCCACTAGCAGGCTTAAGAAGAAAGCATATCTTGGTCTTGTACTCCCAATTCATAACTGACTTCTCCCATGGCTCCTTCTCACAGACAAAGTACAGTTTCAAGGACTCTGCTTTGTGTTTAAAAACAACAAACCCCTTATGACCTTTACAGCCTGCCCCCCTCTCTGAGGCATACTTCATATTGTCTTGCTGCTTCATGTTCAGCCTGATGCTCCATGAAGGGCAGAGTGTTCTGTCTGACAAGTCATCGCCGTCACCTGGTGACACAGCTGCTGCTTGGCCTGAGCTGTCCAGAGTGTTGGCTTCTGCAGAGACTTGCTGAGACTCTGAAGGACAAGGCAGAAGCACTGGTGTCACTGGTCATGGAAATGCAAATGAGGTGCTGACCAGCGGGCCAATAACCCATGTCATCTTCTGGTCTTTCTGGCAGTTCTTTCTGTTGCAGTCTCTTAAATATCTCCTATGGGAAACTGTCATCTCATACCTTTTCTGTCCCTTCAGGATTTTCAGAAGTCCAGCCTAGGCTGTGTCACAGCTGTCCGTAAAGCCTTCCAGCAGATCAAGGACCTGTGCCTGAGTGGAGGTAAGAAGAGAGCCCTGCAGATGGCTCCTGAGGGCAGCCACCATTCCCAGCCATGAAGGGAAAAAGTTGATACAGCTTTACCTCAGCTAGCTGTTCAGATAATTCAGTGAAGACGTCCACATGGCTTCCTTTTCTGCTTGTACAATTGTTTTTTTTTCTTTTATTAACAGTTTCGGTTAGCATTAAAATTGATAATCAATACTGAAACATATGTAGCTCTGTGGTGCTTTGCACAGTGTTAATGAAACCATTTCTTCCGCCCCAAAATGCAAAACCACTTGCAAGTGAAAACCACTTGCATAGTATTTACAGCTAGTAAAACCGTATGTTTCACCAGATACTTGTTCTCAATATCCATATCATGAAGACCTGTTCTGGTGGGTATGACAGCTGTGTGACTCAGCTCACTGGACAGATCTGAGAAATATGCAGAGGGCAGTGTAGGTCCTAAAGCAATCATCCAAGTCCCTTCCATCTTCAGTCTTAGACAGTTAGGACATACTGTTGAAGACCTCTGCAATGGCTCCTAAGTAGGCTGGACCACATGCCATGGGCTGATGCAGCATCTACTGGAAGCTATGTGTGGTGTTGGGAAAGATGTAGTGGCTTGTGGATCTGTCTTGAGCCTTGGTCTGTCATGCTGTTTGTCAGGAGCTGTATGCCTCCCAGCTGCTGCTGGTCTTGGAACTGCCAGAGGAGCCCAGGTATCAAAATGCCATTTTAGCTTTGGCTCACAGCAGGAAGAAAGTTATTGTTAACTAGTTGAGCTCTTCCAGCTCTGCCTGGGGTCTGCTTCCTGCAGCTGGGAGTAAGGTGGTCATATTTAAGGCTTTGGCCCTCAAGTCTGTATCTGGAGTCAGGTCCCAGGCTGTGGGTTTCCAAGCAAAAGCAGCCATGCTGTAGTGGTCAGCTGTAGAACAGGATGGGGACAGGATCTGTGACTGCAAAATGTGGGGGATGAAAATGAAGGGAGCAGCTTTCCACAGCAGAAAAAGCAGAAAAGCAAAGGTGTATGGGTACATTTTGAAGGAATGTCTTTAAAGATGTATTTCCTGACTCTGGCTGAACTCTGCATCCCACTGATGTTTGAAGGCATGCCTTGAGATCTTCAGAATCATTTGTGAGGATTGTTCTCATCTGGCAGTTCTTACTGCAGATGCACCCTCTCCTTCCAAGAAGCTGTGTTTTTTTTTCCCCTGGGGGGGGGTGATATTTGGTTTTTTGGGGTTGGGATTTTTGTTTCCTTTTTTAAAAATGTTTTTAGTTGTTTTTTTTTTCTTCCCTCTGCCAGTTCTTCCAGCTTTTGAATCTCACTGGGTTGCATGTGTTGTACCTTGCGCTCCTGCATGAGAGTTTGCCTGGGGAGCCTGCCTTGTGGGACACAGCAGCCCTGCCAGGGAAAGGAGCATGAGGCGTGCTCCTGCAGGGAAAGGAGCTCCTGCAGGCATGAGCAGGGACAGCCATCAGCCATCACGGCACTGGTGAGGACAGGCTGTACCAAGCTGCTCTGCTTACTGTTTGTGTGTAAATTTAGATGCAATGTGTCCTTTCCACTAAAAACCTCATCTTACGTTACAGCATCTTCTTACTCCTGAGTGAAACAAGATGCTGAAGCTTGGTATTACTTTCCTCTGTTGAAGTTTGTGTCTTTTATTTTCCTTTCTTTTGAAGCCTATGATGAGATCAGCAGCAAAATGGCCACATGCAATAAGATCTCTAACAAGGAGGATGTTTACCAGCTGTTTGGGTTTGCTAGAAATGCCTTCACCATGATGGCCATGATGGACTATCCATACAAAACTGACTTCATGGGTGACCTCCCTGCCAATCCAGTGAAGGTGAGGACATTGGTGTGAGTGGGTGAGTGGAGCTTAGGACACTGTCCGACAGACACCATTGGTGTTGGTCACAGGGTGACAGGTGTCACAGGATGCAGGGTGTTGGTCACAGGGTGACCAGTAGTGGTGCATGTTGCAGCCCTTCCAATCTGACTGTAAATCTACACAATTGAAACTTCTCTGTGATGGTGACTGCTGTGAGGTTTGCTGTAGTCACTCCTGTTCTGCTCTGCCTTTACCTTAGACACAAACATCTGTGCAAGCTGATTGACTTCAGCTTTTAAATACTAAAAACTTGTAGCTTAAAAAAAAGAAAAAAGTAGTTCTGTTGAAGCCCATCTCAACATGCTTTCAGAGAGGTATTTTTCTTGGTGGGTAGGGATGGAGATGTGAAAATCAGGCTCTTTTGAAAGTATTGCCCAGGAAGCTGACATACCTCAAATATAGTGTAGAAAAAAGCCTGCTGCTATGGGGGCTGCGAAACAGGTGAACTTTGCAGAGAACCACAGATGGCAAAGTGTGGGAAAAGGGCCAAGTTCTCAGGGGTTTACAAAGACCTCTAAGACACCAGCTGCTTTTGAAAGGTACCAGCTTTGATCCCAGATCACCAGAGGCTTATGCAATTCTTGGTGTCTTCTAGTGTGTTGTCAAGCCCATGGGACTTCATTTGCCTCTGGCTTTGTGGCATTTAGGGTTCTAGTCCTACCTGGAGCACACTGTGCAAGACGTCACACAGGCTCTGCTGCACTGGAACTCTGGACATGCTGCCTCTGCTCCTCCAGGCATCCAGTTTCTTTCTAAGGTCTGTTTAGTGACCTCTAAAATGGAAATAATTATTCTGCACAGTCCCCCACTCCCTGAAAAGGGCATTGAAATATTCCGATTGTAGGAGGAACTGTTGTGTATCACTGTGGCTCCTCCACAACTCCCTAACTTGGTGAAGGAACTGTCTGCTCTTGTCCTGTCTCCCTGCTTCTATGTATTTTGTTGCTACAGGGAAGGAAGCTAAAAACTTCAAGACTTGTTGCATTAGGCCTTTGGAAAGCTACTGAACCATAAAATATGTAAATAATAATTTTAATGAGTCTTCCAGCTTAGCCCTTCCACAAAGCAACTGGTAACTGTTCTGTCTGCCATTTGCCTGTAATGTGTCTTACCCAGGTCGGCTGTGAACAAATTATTGCCCATAAAGACCCAATTGAAGGCTTGACTGCTCTTGTTGGTGAGTTAATATTATCAGTTTGATCTTTTATGTACCACCACGTGTTCTAGAAGCACCTGTCAGTAGACCTGTCATGTTGCTGTGTCAGGGGAGTTGGTATGATTCTGATCTGCCCCTGGGACATTTTGCCTCCTGTTGATTTTGTCTGTTGGGATGTCTCACAGTGGCCCACAGGTTCATTCTCTCACCTTTCCCAACTTATTCTTGTCATGTTTCTCAGGCATTGAAGCCCCATAGCCTGTTGTCTGTCCATGAGATGTGGATTTCTGAGAAACTTAGTTCTTTTTTAGAAGCTTACCCATACTCTGGCTGTAGCAGTTACGGGCTGAGTGCACATTCACTGAAGGAAGTTTTCTGGTCTCCTTGTTGAGAACAAGTCCAGTGGTCTTAATCCAGGGGCAAGGCAATCTTAAATACATCTTGTATACACACATATACATTTATCTCTGTAAGCATTTATTTTGTCAGCCAGAAGTGTTTGTAAGGAAATTATTAATAGAAATAGAATTCAGAGAACTTTTGAAGAGTTCCTCAAAGTATCTTTCAAGTTGCTTATTAAAAACGAGTTCTACCTTTGTCATTACTCAGAAAAACAATTTCTGAGTGGCACACAAAAAAAAAATTAAGGAATTCTTACAGATTTAATGCAATTTAGTATGACCGGGAGCTAATTTTTTTTTCCAAATGATGTATGTGCCCCAAGTCAGAAATGTACCAATCTTTAATTACTGCTGAAGATACTTGGCTGGCAGCTAGAAGCTTTCTTAAAACACTAATGTCTTGGCAAACACTGTCAGATCTACTGGATGTATTCACATGATACTTCTTTTGTGAGGAAGAGTGGGAGTCTTGTTTCTTTAAGATGCCAAGAGTGGATTTCTTCCTCCCAGTTCCAGGGGAGCACCTCATGCCTCTCCCTGTCTCCCCAGCTACATTCACTTGGTGGAGTTTAATCATACAAGAAGAATGATCCAGCAGAACTTTAGGCAGGAGACTAGCTTTCCTGCAATACTTAACCCTCTGTGTCATACAGGAAAACAATTTTTTTCACATGTGCTTCATCAGCCCACTGCCAGCCAGGTAGAGTGTAATGCCATGGGCTGTGATGCTGAACTGGAAACAGGTCAATGGGGACATTGTGAATGGGGACACTGATTGCTTTCAGGGCAATAATAATGTGAATCCATTCATCTACCTGCAGAGAACCAGACTAGCACTTACCCATCATATCATGTCTCAAGTGGTATTGCTGTCATGTCAGGTTTGCTTGGTTCATGATAAGGGAAACTGGTGTCCCAACATCTGTTTGAACATCATAAGGCTCAGGGTGCCAGAGTTTTGATCCACATTTGGCAATCAGAGCCTCAAAAGAAATGGAATAAAATACCAGAATGGCATGGCTTGGAAGGAGTTTTCTTCTTGGGAAATCAGAGGAGTAAGCTGAGCAAGATGCCACAAGGACCTGCTCTACCTGGCATAGCTGAAGCTCTGCCTGCTATCCAGGCTTTTAACCCATTACAAAGGAAATTGTCTAAACAGGACAATATTACATTGAATTTGGGGCAATAACCAAGTTTGTGACATCTGAAGGAATTTGTCAGCCCCATGTAAAAACTTTGCCATAAAGCTGGATTGTAACCTTGCAGTTCCAAGCTCTGTGAGTTCTGTCCCATCCTTGCACACTCACGCAGGCCTTGGCTTAGTTTTGGCCATGAAGTTCATGTGGGAAGGTGGTGAGTGAGACAGCAGAGTTACTGACTGGTTTTGTGCTGTATTCCCACCTGGCAGGGGTGTTCTACAACTCCTCTGGCTTGGCACAGTGTTATAACATATACCAGCTGTACCAGTCCTGTGCTGACCCCACGGGCTGTGGCACCGGCTCAGATGCAGAGGCTTGGGACTACCAGGTAAGGGCCCCCCAACAGGTTTCAGCTACTGTCCTGTCTATGCCCCTGCCCAATGACAGCTCTTGTGCTTCTCTTAGGTTTGCACTGAGATCAACTTAACATTTGACAGTAATAATGTGACAGACATGTTCCCTGAGATGCCCTTCACAGAGGCTATGCGTGAGCAGTACTGTTGGAACAAGTGGCATGTGAGGCCACGAGCACACTGGCTGCAGACAAACTTTTGGGGAGAAGGTGAGTTGTGCTGATTGCTTGTTCCCTTTGTATTACCCTGTAGCTGTCTCCCTGTTTCCCTCAGTCCATCTGAGCCCCATGAGGACAGGCACAGCAGACTAATGAGTCCTGGCAGAAAGTCACAGCCTTGCGCTGACTTGAGCCAAACACACCTTTCTGTATCTCTTTGGTACAGAAGAGGAAAACATAAAAACTACCAGTAATTTGTTCAATTATTTGATGTTTTCTGTTCTTGGCCATGTTTGCTGCAGTAGCCAAACACATTTGGATAACTGGGCAGGAAGGAGACCTCTCAATTACGAACTCTCTGAATTTCAGACCTGAAAAGTGCAAGCAACATCATTTTTTCAAATGGAGACTTGGACCCATGGGCTGGAGGTGGGGTAAGCATATGCAGTTCTGTACCCTGAGCAGAGCAGCCTTTGCAGGTGACATCCTGCCCTCCCTCCCTTTCAGAGCAGCACTGGCAATTCAGTTTTAACCTGAGTTTCTGTGAGCAGCTGTTTCATGGTGAACCACTGAGGACTTTTGGGACACTAATGACAGACACATTGAGTAGTGTCTATCAGCCAGGAATACTGATTGAACAAATGTGGCTTCACTAGTGCAGACATGGCAGGACCTTCCTTATCCCACAGCCAGGGTCTGAACCACAACCTGGTGTGTTTCGGTGTTCTCATGCGGTCTCAATGCTGCCAGCCATATGGTACTGCCTCTCTCCTGTCCCAGCACACTCGGTGAGACCAGGTGGATGCTATGAGCAGCGATGAAAACTTGGAGATGTTTTGGCTTAGATTCAACAAAACCTCAGAGTACTGTCAGTGTCCAGTCTAAAATTTAAAAATCCAGGACTGGATTTTGTGTTCGTTCAGCTCCTGATTGGATACAGAAGCTCAGTGTTTTAGACTGGCTTGGAATCCCAGGAGGAGCAGGCTGCTTAGGGTACATGTCCAGAGGACACCTAACTTCCAACTGCCTGTACTGGAATCAGCTGAAAGTACCCACTTTGTGGAAAACATTTGGGACAGGTGATCTGGTTTATTCAGACTGTTAGCTATGGACACCACCCGTACCAAGGATGTCTTCCCATGCTTTTTCTCAGTCTTGCCCAGACCATGTTCCATTTTTCAGAATTCATGTCCAGTTCTTCCCAGTAACTTGGTGAGAATTGGTCTTTGCTCCTTCTTCTCCCAGATAAACAGCAGCCTCAGCCCTTCACTGATTGCACTTACCATTAAAGGAGGTGCCCATCACCTTGATCTCCGGTAAGTTCTGAACTTCCTTTGACTGGCAAAATCCTGATGCCCTGGGTACTTGATCTCAGCAAGCCACAGCCCAAACAACCAGGAGATATTTTAGAATCACTGGATCATAGAGTTGTTGAGGTTAGAAAATATCTAAGATGAACACAACATGACCACCATGTTTACCACTAAACCATGTCAAGTGCCACATCCACAAGTTTTTTGAATGCTTGTGGGGATAGTGAATTCAATGCTTCCTTGGGCAGTCTGTTCCAATACTTTACAACCCTTTTCATGAAAAAATTTTCCCTATTCTCCAGTCTAAAGATCTCCTGGTTCAACTTGAGGCTGTTTCCTCTCATCCTGTCCCTTGTTACCTGGGAGCAGAGCCTGATCCCCACCAGGCTACAATCTTGTCAGGGAGTTGTAGAGAACAAGATGGTCCCCCCTGAGCCTCTTCTTCTCCAGGCTGAGCTCCCCCAGCTCCCTCTGCCACTCTTGGTGCTCCAGACCTTTCCCCAGCTCTGTTCCCTTCCCCGGACACACTCCATGCCTTCTATGTCTTACTTGTCAAGAGGAACCTAAAATTGACCTCAGGATTTAAAGTGTGGCCTCACCAGTGCCTAGCACAGGGCAAGTACCTAGAGAGGATGGGTACAAGGCTACTGCAGCCCAATGTGGAAGAGTAATCTTCTTCCCCAGCATAGGGCTCTTTCAGCCTCCAGGGATGCTGCACTGTGCAGAACTTGACACTCAGCTCACCTACTGTCATTAGATCATGTTCTTGCACAGGGGGTGGCACAAGTGTGAGACAGCCTGCAGCAATCAGTCACATGAAATAGTCCAGTGCCATCTGGCATTAGCCATCTGCCTTTGGGCCTGGAGCAGAGGAGGCAGCAGCCAGCAAGGGCAAGCTTGGGGCTGTTGCCCAACTGTACTGGAGATGATCAGACACTACAACTTGGTTTCCAGGGCACACACGTGAAGCACAAACCAGTCAGTCTCTGTTCTTAAAATCAGACCCTACCTCTGCAGGAGGCAAATACCCACTGTCCAGTAACTTGCACTGCTCTGCTTTCCCTAGGGGAAGCAACCCAGCTGACCCCCCATCTGTCACAGAGGTGCGCAGGCTTGAAGCCGGGATCATCAGCAGCTGGGTGAAATCTGCAGGCATGGAGCGGGTGAAGAAGCAGCGCGCAGGAGCTGCCGCAGGCAGCCAGCCTTGAGCCCTTCCATCCTCACAGCCCCTGGGTGCAGCTGTCACAGGACACAGCAGTCTGCTGTACTGGTTCTACCAGGCTGGCTGGGACACTATTCTCTCCTCTGCCATGATGGTGGGAACTCCCTTTTCCAAAGTGTCCCACTTATACCTCATTGAGCATGAAAAGAAATGCAAAAGGCCAAATCACGGACAGAAGCCAAAACCACATTTTCTGGGCTCCATGCTTGCCTGCTCAGAATGAGCTGTTACAAAGGGCAGCAATACAAAAAGCTTGCCTGGAAGGTCCAAAAACCATCACAGCCCTGAACTGGATGGTTGCATGAGGCACCTTAAGGTTGAAAATAATCAATTTTTAGAGAAAAAGGAAATACTAGAGGATTAGCAGAAAAGCAGAGGTATAACTATGACTGACACAGGGTCATGGTGAGCTCTACTAGTGACCAGTTATCTAAAACACACTATCAGTCTTAGCCAGAGCTGTAGGTTGGGGCTGTTTTAACTTGTCAAAGAGATTCCAGTTGCTGAGATGAAGATTTACACAAAGGAATCCTGGCGTGCACTGCTGTCACTCAAGGGCTGTGTATTGGTGACCAGTAAAGCACACTTCCACTGAGGCATCTTCAGAGCTTTTAAAAATCAATTACAAGTATATTAAAGTCTGTGATATAAAAGTTTTTTAAAGGGTGTGATATTATTTCATAGCTTGGTAGTATAACCAAAGAAGATAAAAAATGTTCCTTCTCACCTTCCCAGGTGAATCTTTGCCCATGACAGGATGCTACTAGACTGACTAAGCACCAATAATTACTAGCATAACTGCAGAAGAACTAAGTCCTGGTAACTGGCTGCCTCAGTTGATTATACTTTACAGCAATGAGTGAGTGGAGAGGTTTCCCGAGTCCCCAAAGGTTTTCACTGTTTGTGCAGCATGGTCACAGTGGTGCTTGGTGTCATTGTCTGCACTGCTGGTCCCCCTCCCTGGTCACAGCAGGACTGGTTCCCAGAGCCATTATTTGGGTGCTGAGATCTGTTTCATCCACCTCTGCCCTGTCCTTAACAAAAGACCAAAGCTTCTGGTTCCTCCAGCCAGGGATGCTGAGGAGAGCAGGAACAGATGGATCCACTGATCAGCTATTTCAGATATGTGTAAATGAAGGACAACTTGGAAGATCGAATTAATCAAACTCCAGTCCCTACAAAAGTCACACTAAGACTGCCAGTGGCACTACATCGTCGACCTGAATCCTCTCTGTTCATGCTGATGGAAACCTCCACGGGTCCTGCTTAGTTCTTTTTGCTCCTGCTCAAGTCAGGCTTTGGCTTTATTGCTGCTATATCAAGCCTTACTGAAGTGGTCATCCTCTGTTGGGCTCAGAACCCACAACTTTTCTGAATTCAGATTTGCTATACCCCAGCCATTATTCAGGATTAACACATTAGGGGAAAAAAAAAAAGAGAGAGCAAGGATTGCATCCTGCTTTTATTTCCCTTCAAACAGCACTCTTCACACCTGTAAGCAGGTAGCCAGCAATCATTAGCCCAGCAATGTAAGAACACAGCCAGGTTCAAGGGCAAGTGTTTCAGGAAGTCACTGCAAGTCATCCCAGTCACCAGGGCTGGGTTTGTGCCTTAAAGAGAAAGGAGGCCTGTGTGTCTGCTGACCTTCCAGAAGGACAAGATTTTTAATCCCCTTCTCTTGGACTATACTGAGTTCTTATTTTCCTCTTACAGATAGTTCTTATTCCAAAGGAATACACATAGTTTGATTGATACAGAAGGATAAACTAAAGGCTTTCAGACACTATGGCAAAGAGATAATACACATGGACATCCAGCATGGATGAACAGTGCCATAAAAGAAATCATGACAGAAGTCTGAAGCCAATGCCACCAACATCCATAATGTTTTGAATCCTTTGGCAAGCAAGCATGGGAGGTAAAAAGAAAACCCTGTTGTGTAGTGCTGAGCTGAAGGGAAGAGCCCCAAAGCACCACTCTTGAGCATCATGGGAATGCTGCTCCTGCTTGAACTTCAGGGTCACACAAGGAAAATGGCATATAAGCAGTGAGTGACCACTGCTTATGAGTGACCAGACCATGGGTGCAGGCCCTGTGCTTAAGGCCTGCACCAGTGAGGTTGTTGAAAAAAGGCTCATTTGTTCTATCATCATTTACTGACACAATGAGTGCAGCCAAGGTGGGAACATTGTACAGAACAGGAACTCAGTGTTGGGCTCCAGTGAACACAGAGGCTTCCAACTTTGGACAGCAATCTCCAGCAGTACTTCAGAGAACAAAAAAAACCCAAGTCTTCCCAAATCCAAAGTCAGAAAAATCTTCACCCCTTCTCTTGAAGCAACAAGCTTCATGGAGCTACCCCATCATGTCAGTTGACTCATCCTGTTAATTATACTGAGTGTGACACTGGCAATCAGGAGCTGAATTCCCTTGCAGGGCTATTTCTAAGAGGCAAGTTCTGCAGCACAGGAAAAATTCACAAAACTGTAAATGTGTTATTGCAAAAACCTTTCCTGTTTTCATCTGCCATCACTGCCAGCATCACACATGCATGGAACAGGAAACAAGGTGTATTCTTTGGAGGAGTAAACAGAGCTGTACCTGAGCTTGGCATGGACTGCTGAAAATCCTGTTAAATGGAAGTCTTGCAAAACACAAGGATCCTGTCAGCCAGCACCAGGGACCTTGCAAAAGTGCCAGTTTCTGAAGGCCTGTAATGAGAATTCAGCTTTCAGAAGTTCAGTGATTAGATGGTAACTGTGCCCCATCCATCTGCTGAATTGTTTTTGAGCATACAGGTCAGTATTTCCTGAATGTGGCTCAAAGCCCCAAGTGTGAGATGGTCCCAAGTCCACAGCCCTGCAGTTCTCTCTGCTCTGCCCATGCCCAGCTCTGTTTCTCAGTGAAAGCCAAGGCTTTATATTGTGAAGGACAGACTCCCTGGCTCAGTGGTGGCCTCCCCACAACACTCCACTCAAGCCGAAAGTGTCCCAGCATGTAGAAACACCAAAGTGGATTATGGACCCAGCATGTCAAGCTTTTGAACAAGGAGCCACAAATTGAGCTTCAGTTGCACTGGAGGAGCACATTATGCAACAGATATAGGCTGTGGAACTTGGAGACTGATCTGACCCAACAGTTTGTTAAGGAAGTTAAAATAAACAAGCAATTAAAATTACCTCTGCAGAAGATCAGGAAGAACAAATGAGCTTTGTTGAGATTATTTAGTTTGTGCCCTTTCACATGTGACATAGACCTCTGAAACAAACATTTGTTCTCAAAGGGAGTGAGAGCTAACAATCTGAACCTCAGGTTTAAAGGCTGAGGACAGTAAAGCCACATTTTGAGGAGATTGCATGTCCCAAGAGGACCTAGATAGAAATCACCTGGACCAACAGGCTCAGCTAAAAGACAAGACATGTTTGCGAAAGTGACAGTTTATTCTTCTCTCCTTCATCTCATTAGGAAATGAATTATTACTCCCAAGCCAATCGTAAGGCAAAGTATCACACAGGCTCCCATAGTCCCATTTGTAGAATCAATTACATTAAGACTTGCATACAATTTCAAAACCAGAAGATTTTTGGTAAGCATTTATATGTACTCTATTTTCTAAGACATCTGTCTTGCCTCAGTCAGGCAGCTCTCTGGTGAAACACCAAACCCTCGAAGTTTTACAATCCATAGCACAGTCATAATTAAAGGTTCAAAACTGGCTTTGTTCAAAGGCACACAGCCAAAGCAACACAGGTCAGTAGGACCTGGGTAGTGTCACTGAATTTATATTTTTAATTTTTTTCTTTAGTCTCCAATTTTAAGCCTTTAGCTTTTAGCCAAAACTCAGCTTCTCAGCAGCACAAACCTGCTTCATGAACAAAAAAACTGAAGGTGCTTCCTTCCACATTTCTGCTGCACTATCCTCATTTGTTGTTGTGCCAAAGAAACCAGAAGCCCTGGCAGCAAATTGTTTGTGTAGCCAGTGGCCATAGTGACAGGATTCCACTGCAATTCTAAGTGAGAAGCTTGTTCTCAGTTACTGCTGGCATGTGAACGGGAGGAACAATAACATTCTGCACTGACTAGTTATGTCCTGTCAATCCCAGGACAGGGTCCCTCTGATGACAGAAGAATGTGCATTTAAATAATTCCTAAAATTTCTCCATTTCCATTAGTACATGGAATGATAAATATTATATAAAAGACTTAAATAGTGGTCCCAAAAGTAACTTGTAACTCCAGTAAACAGAATGGATCAGCATAAAAGAAATAAAGATGCATCTTACTTTACAAATCAAAGATTACAATTATTATAAAATACCTCCCTCAGCCACTGGAAAATGAACGATTAGAGTCAAATTCAGTCAGTTCCATTAATGGCCAGGGACCCCTGGATTTAGTGGGGACTGGCCCTGCCCCAGTCTCCACTAAATAACATCCACTGCCATGGGGGAAAGAGACTTCCACTGAGACCAACCTCTTCTGGAAATATGAATAATCACATTTCTGAGATCCTATCCATGAATACAGGACTGTCCAAGTCCAAATCCAAAAAGAAAAGCACTCTAGAAAGTTAATTTCCAAATTCATGGCTTAAAATCTGTATGTGTGTACATACAAAAATAGAAGATCACAGAGCTCCTGTAAGATTCTTAAAAAAACCTCAGTCTACTTTGTCTTCAATAACTGAAATTAATTTCTCCAATTCTACTGGGGCCTAGAACTGCTGTAAGACTGTCTGCTTGTAACATTCCTGCTCAAAATACCCACTGTACTCCTAAGGACAAAAATAACTGACAATTTCTCCATGGCCCAAGAAATATCGAAAAACAAGAACTTTGCTGTACAGCTGTAAGCTTGTTTTGAGTCAACAAAACCCCATGATGTGATATCTGAACAGGAAGGGATGGAAGAAGGCTGATACCTAATACACTCACAAGCTTTCCCAGTGCCCAACCTCTGAAAAGCTGAAAGCAGCTTTCAGTCAGAATACCTGAGTCTAACTGATGCAAATAAGATATAAAATGCATGTGTAGTTTTACTTGCATTTCACATTATCTCCTGCTTTCCTGCATGGAAGTTATAAAACTGCAATACTTCTACAAAATTATATACCACCTTGAGCTAAACCAGCAGCAAATTCTCTTTCATCATTCATTTCAGCCACAACTTGAATACTGTTCCAAGTGCTCTACAAAACTAAGACACTATACAACAGATGCTCTACTGCCTCTTTCTTCTCCTACCATGATGCAGCATATCTTGGGAGTTTGGAATGAGATCAGAGTACCAGCAGCAATACTGACAGCTTCTCCCTGGGACAGCACTACAACTCTATTTATTCCACATTGCATCTGAACCACTGTCAGTTTGACAAAGGAATGGCTCTGTAATCCAGTGTTTCAGCAAATCCAGAATAAACCACAAAACTAGAGGCTTATTCCTACTCTCCAGGAACAATGCTGTGCCCTAAGCCAATTCGCTGCATTCCCAATAATTAATGAGCATTTAGTAACAATGACTAAGTGAACCGTCAGTTAAGTGGGTCATCAGAGCCCCGAGAATGTCATGGTCCACACTACTATTACCTCCTGAACCACATCACCAGTACCAGGGAAACCAGCTTCATATGGCACAGCTTTGCCCATCCCAGAACCAGAGATTAGATTTAAGACTGACATGATTTCTTCACACCAGAAATGCTTTTTCCAAGCTTTTGTCTGTTGTTTGAAGTCAAAAAAGGTGCATTATAGCATCTCTCCTCAAACCCTGAAAAGTAAAGTGACTTGAAGATAAAAATGCCACCACTGGAAGATCCACTGATGCAGAGTCTATGCTGGTACCCAGATAGGGAGTGGATGAGCCTCTGTGTTAAAGATGTATTTGTCAAGGTTGATTAAGTCTGTGTCATCTGAGAACAGCAGAAACATGTATTTAAGTGTTTCCCCAAGGAAGAAACTCTCCATTTTATCCCGTGGCTCTGGATTACTGGGATTCTGAACGTTGTTAATGGAAGTATAACCACCAGTAGGAACCTGCAAAAAAAAGAAAAAAAACTTGTATCTTTCCATAACCTAAAATATTTTTTTACTTCCTAACATCCAGATGCACTTGGAGAAGATAAGTGCTAAAAACAGATCATGTTTTCATGCTTTTCATTTCATACTTGGTTCTCATTTACATATAAAGCTCCAGTAATGAAAAAAAAAAAAAAATCCCATTGCATTTTAAAAGAAACCACAACAATAAATGAAGCAAAATATCCATTTGTGCTCAGGGTAGAGAGGTATCACAAAGGTATTCATCCCTTTGAAGTTGAAGTTTCTGGACAAATATACAGAAAGGAACCAGCTATTTTTACATTAGAGCTGACCCAAGCCTTGTAGCCATTTCTCTTAAGAACAGACCATTGATATTTGGTGCTACACTCTCACAGCATATCAGTGACATCTCCATAAGCACTGTAGTCAGAATGAACAGAAAAATCTTCTATTAAACCATTAATGCCATTTTGTGCTATTTCTTTTTGCCGTGGCAACTTAAATGAAAAGTTTTTTCAGTCCAGCCATGCTCTTCTCAGCATCTCCTTGTCTAAAACCTACAGATTCTAACACTTCGGTGGTCTTGCCTACAGCTTCTGCATTTCACTTTTTCATCAATCTAATACAAGTTCTTTCACTATATGGATTAAGCACGGTATCTCCATCTGTAAGAAAACAATTTTTCTGTATATACTTACAAATTCCTCCACAGTTATCTGATAAATCTTGAAATGTAGTATGTTTTCAAAGTTGGTGTCAGAAAGCAAGTGAGCAAATACAGTCCTGACAGAACAAGGTTATTATAAACTGGCCTTACCCTGGTGTATCTGTTGAAATTCTGCAAGATTTCCCAGCCCCAGTCTTGGTATTTCTTATCACCAGTGAATCTGTACATATAAAAAAGACTTTCCACAGTTTCTGGTCGCAATAAATTGTGCCTGTCTGCAGGCTGCAAGAGAAAAAGTGGCAAGAGTATTTCAGACAGGGAATTTCCTCAAGGATACATGCAGGGAGAAAAATAATTATTCACATCTCCATCTGTTCCCAAGAGTTTGCTACGCTTAAGTCAGCTTCTAAATACACTGCCAGGGTAACTAAAACCAAAGCCTAGGGTACAGCTAGAAGGCAAGGCAGAGAAAGAATTGGCTGCTCCACAACAAACCCCATCCCTAATATCTGGCCAGGAGTTCAACAGCAGAATAGAGCTACAGAGAAATCATGGAATTGGAGTTCAGGCCAGCTATCTGCTCACCTTGATTTCTATATCCTTGTGGCCCTTCTGTGCATGGAGATTGAAGTGTACAATTTCTGGGCTCAGGCCTGTCTCTACTTGAGCATACATCTGGTAGCATGTTTCTATAAGAGTTTCAGCCAATTTCATGTGATCAGCAGCCAGTCCATTGTGAGCTCCCAGTGCTAAAGTACCCGGCAAGAAGCAAACCAAGTGATCCTGCAAGATAAGACAACTCTAACTGAGAAGTTTCACATCAAACAGCAAGGGGAAGTAAGGGGGGGGGGCACCATCTTTTTAATTTTTGATTCTTTTTCTTCTTCAAAAGACACCTCTGATACCAACAACTTGAGGATAACTTTTTAACAAGCTCATGTAACGTAACATGAGGCAGGCAGCATTATTACAGAAATCATTAATTTCAAAAACTTACAAGAATGTGTTTTATGACAAGTTTCTGAAAAAAAGGTCTCAGGTCATGTTGAGGGGAAGGAGAGTGTCTTTTGGTTTACCAAATTTTGTATCAGCTCATGCTGGGGATCAACTAAAGGCTTGGTGTCCTCATTCTGGAGCTAATCTACCATTGATGTAAGAAAGTAAGCACTGCAGATTAATGTCACATATGGGATCTTTGATTCAGAATCAAAGCTCAGGTCTCATCACCCAAAAACGTAGTAAAACCACTCTGATGCCCCTGTATGGACTTTTAAAATCTCTGTCCAGTCCTTAAGGAAAGTGGAAGGTTGTAAAGGTCAGCATAGACATGGGAGCCAAACATCCCCCACTGTTCCAGCTGGACAGCGTAAGAGACCTGTCCAGCCTTTCACCCAATAATAACGGATTAAAATGAAATTTCTGACTCCCTGAAACAGAAGGAAGAGTTCTGACATGTACAGACAACTAAGCCAAATCTGTATATCTCAATTCAATTCTGTTCTATCTTGGAATGGGGCAGCCCCCTCTACCCAAGCCCCAGACTCTGGTCTTACTCACAGCAGGCTTTTTGGAGAGCTTTTTGGAAATTCAGATCCAAGAAGCACATGCTGAAAACTAGAACTGAATATCTTAAAAATAATACATCAGGAAAGGCTATACATACATTAACAATACATCACTCGTCTTTCAAACAAGCCACACACATATACAATACCTGCACTGCATGAGATTTTTAACTGGAAGATCTTAAAATACACAAATTGGGAACAGAGGGTTAAGATCAATCAATTCTCCTGACAGCAAACAGCATACTGTTATACCCAAGAATCTTCCAGGTAGGAAAATAAAGATGTCATGAATGGACAGAAACCTCCAAAATTATTAATTTCTTTTTTAACCCCATAATACAGTATTAGATGATATGCTTCTTTGAAGACAAATCTAAAAACACGAGTGTACAAGTGTCTACATAATGTATCTACGAGGCAGCTGGTCATTACTGCCATCACACTGGACAGATGTATTTGTATGTATCATCTCGTGTTTAGGGTTTTTGTTTGTTTTTTGTTTGTTTTTGTTGGGGTATGTTTTTGGTTTTTGAGAGGGAAAAGCTTTGCATTTGCTTCTGTGGTGGGTTTTATTTAAATTTTGTAGTGGTTTTCTGTTTTCTTTTGCAGCTGTATTTCTTACCATCTTGGCACTGAAGTGGCCATGAGCAAGCTCTCCGACAAAAGTAAGCTTCTTGGGTTCTGATCTCTGAAGAAGATGCTTTTTCACTCCTTCTATGGCTCTCGTATAGTCTTCCAACAGTCTGTGAAAAAAATCATCCCCAGTTGGCTCACATGCACAGAGTTAGAATGTATTTGATCACAGGTGATGTTCAGCACAATCTTTTTAGACAACTGTTACTTCAGTCTACGGAGTAATATTTAACTAAATGTGAAAACTTTAAAAGCCCCTCAGTGACCATCAACAGGACATTAATCAGTTTTCACTACCATGTAGCAATACTGGGTTTACTTGAAAAGTAAATAATAGTACTTTAATACTTATTCAAATATTAAAGAAAACACCTGCAACTGTTTCTCGGCAATAACCAGATTTTATTTCAAAAATCCTTGGAAGCAGAGTTATTGAAATCACAGAACATCTAGGCTGGAAAGGACCTCTTGGAGGTCTCTATTTCAACCTTCTGCTCTGAAGCAGATTCAAATTTCATCACATTGTCTGAGTGGCTATCCAAGCAATTTTTCAGTACCCCTATCCAAAGATGGAGATTCAAAGAGTTTGAGCAATCTTTTCCAATTGTCATGTCTCAATTGTGAACCATTGTTTCACAGAATTTAATTTCATTTTCCCTTGTTTTCATGTACTTTCAATATGGAGAACAACCTGCTGATTGTGAGGCTCACAAAATGCCATTGTGGTCCCAAAGACACCGGTTCTCCATTTATAGTAAGGTGAGCCTTGGAATGAAAGCTTTGTTTGCAGAAAGGAATCTGCTCTGACACACAGAAATGCTTCCAAAAGGCACATTTTTGCTCTGTCTGCATTAAACTCCTTGAAATTACCGAGGAGTCTTAACAGTCTAACAGAACTATCTTATATGCAGACTTGTTTTGAAGGCAAGCTTTTTCAACATCTTTAACTGCTCCTTGTAAACACTCTTCCACTAATGCAGTACAGATAAAAGGAACATATGAGACTTGAAGAGGGACTTTTTACAAGGGCATGTAGTGATAGAGCAAGGGTCTTTAAACTGAAAGTAAGTAGACTGATGCTGGATATTAGGAAGAAATTCTTCCGTGTGAGGGTGGGGAGGCCCTGGCACAGGGTGTACAAAGTAGCTGTGGCTGGCCATGGATTCCTGGAAGTGTCCCAGGCCAGGTTGGAGGGGGCTTGGAGCAACCTGGTCCAGTGAAATGTGTCCCTGCCCATAGCAGGGGTGGGACAGGAGAAGCTTTAAGATCCCTTTCAACCCAAACCAGTCTGGGATTCTGGAATTAAAGAGAAAATAACACAAACATCAACTTCTGTCTCCCTTCACCTTTCACTAACAAACCCAGAGCAAACACAGACATCACTGTCAAAAGGAAATGCCCACAGTATTTCATAAGTGTCTAATTATGCTCATCTCCTTTCTGTGACACTCCTCACATTTGACAACCTGAGGAAGAAAAAGTTTTTGTGGAGAGGGAGTTTTAAGACTAAGGGTAACTCCCCTTATGTTCTTTTGTCATGTTACCACAGGCCTCTCTTTCTGTTTAGCTTGCTTTTAAAAACAGTACTAAGTTCAGCTGACTCTTGGGCACATGATTTATTTTTCTTTAAGCAGCAAACTAAAACAGAGTTTTACAGCTCACTTAACGGTAATGAACAAAGTTCCCAGTGCCCCTGGGGTCACCGGGTGGACAGGGCCTTCCTGGTTCCCATGGCAACACTGGAACAGTTGCTAGTTCTAGTTAAGTACCGATATTGAAATGTTAATTACCTAGTTGCTCTGTTTTCTCTAAACCACATGGAAGATCACCTACCCCCCACCCATGCTGCCATTCTAGGACTAAGATGCAAATAGGGAAACCCATGAAACCATGGGAGCATGTTTTGGGGGTTATGGACACCCCTAAATGAAGAACTAAACACAATTGAGGGGGCTGGACAGGTACAATACGCTGGCTGACAAGAGGAAAACATCCCTGATCGACGTTTGAGCTGTCACCATAACCTATGGAGGACAAGACTAGAGTGGGCTGTGGAAAGCAGGAACAAAGAGGCAAGATTTTCCTGGTGTTACCACGAGGAAAAGAAGAGGGAACACCTGCTGCTGGGACTTCAGCAACAGACTGCACGCCTCCTCACCCTTCGGCTACCTGGAAAAGCTACAACAGCAGGGGTGAGCTCTGTGTCGGGGCCCCCTGCCCAGCTGATCTTTTTAATAAAGAGCTGAACATTAATAAAGGCATAAGCCATTCCAATTTGAGGGCTCGTCCGCAATAGCCACGCCCAAAGAGGACCACAGACAGCTGGACAGCTTGACCACCTCCTTTGAGGGACCCACAGAGAACCCCCGGAAAGCTGGACAGTTTGACCACCTGCTTCGAGGGACCCTAGGGAATTGCTGGATACCTCCAGACCCTAGGATCAGTGTGAGACAAGCAACGCGGAGGGACGGATTGGTGAGAAAAATCAGGAGAGTGAGTGACTGACTGACTGACTGAGACGGGGCCAGCAGCTCAGACCCCCGAAGTGAGAGGGACCTGCTAGGACCGCGTTTCTGGACTCCTGCGAAGGGGCCGGCCGGGAACAGGGGGGGAATAGAGGAATAGAGGAGTGACTGAGGTGTCTCCTTAGAGATAAAGCAGGCCCTTCTCTGGCCGTATGGAAGTTCTCTAGGAGTAAAGTAAGTCCCTGGCAATCAGAGCAAGGGGAATGCCCACCGCAGAACAGGTGGGATGTCCTGGCAGGCAGGAGCGACAAGTCCCAGCAGGCAGAGGGCATGTCCCTGGCAGGCAGGACGGGATAACAGGGTATGTGGGATGTCCCTGGCAGGTGGGGTAGGATGTCCTGGCAGAGCAGGTAGGGGCATGTGTCAGCAGGCAGAGGGCATGTCCCTGGCAGGCAGGACAGGATAACAGGGCAGGTGTGATGTCCCTGGCAGGTAGGGCAGGATGTCCCTGGCAGGCAAAAACCAAAAGTCTCTGGCAGAGCAGGTAGGGGCAGGTCCTGGCAGGCAGGGGGCATGTCCTGGCAGGCAGGCATGAATCAGAGTAAGCAGAAAGCCAAAAAGGCAAGTAAGCAAGTAAAGAAGCAGGTGGGAAGGCAAGCAGGCTAAGCTTAGTAAGAAAACCTAAGCAAGGGGGGCTTGGCTGGAGTTAAGAGTGTAAGGCTCGGCAGGACGTTTGACCTTACCTCAGCAGGGAGACCAAGCTTCCTAAGCCTAGTAAGAAGGTTGGGCAAAAGGCCAAGTAAGAGTCTGGGTGACACTTAGCAGGGGTCCAAGCCTAGAAAGTCCAACAAGAAGTCCAAAACTTAGGCCGAAGAGCAAGAGAACAGAAGAATATGGATGTGAGTGTGACTAGTGATTGTCCTAGCTAAGAGACAATGTAGAGTGTTAAGAGTGTAGTACCAAGAATGGCAGTGTAGTTGAAAGAAATTAAGTCCAGTCAAGAGGTTCAAAATACTAAGCTGTGGAAAGGGGCCAGATGAGCTTTAATTGCATGTCAGTATATTCCATTTTAGACAGAGGCACCATTTAAGGTTTATTTTTTTCTTTGCTTTTTGAGGCCTGAAAATGGGAAGAGGTTATAGTAAAGGAGCAGATCCTTCAAAAGAGAAAGCAAAGAGAATTCCCCCCAACAGCCCCTTTGGGCAATTGTTAGACCAATGGGATTCTTGGGAAGCCACAAAGGGTCTGGATAAGCGTAAGATTGATACATTACAGTATAGAAGTATGACAGAAGCTAAAATTACAGGGAGAGTGGCCATGGTATGGAACCCGAGATCAATGGATGTGTAATCAGTTAAACCAACACCTAGAAGCCCAAGAGGACCTTGATGTAGAACAACTATCTTATGCAGCTTGCTGGCTGGAGAACTCTAGAAATAATGAGACTACTAGAATATGCAAGTTACAAAGAAATAGAGAAGAAGAGAACAGAGAAAAAGAGACTAGAAAAAGAAACAATGGGACCCCCTCGATTACCTACCCCTCTCTACTCCTGTTCCCTCCCCGAATTCATCGGCCCCTCTTACTGAGTCCCTGATTCCATTGTCCCTTCCCCCAGTTTCCTCAACCATCTCCCCAACTTCCTCTTACCCTTCTCCAACCAGAGTTTCCTTGCCTCCTCCCATTTGGGAGCTGAGACCACCCTTCCCTAGTGATTGTTCACCACCTAGCATGCCCCAGAGCCTCCAATAAGCGTCTGTCTCCACTATTATTTCCCCCCCTGGTGTCTTAGAAGAAGGGCCATATTGTAACACCCGAGTAGAAAGCACCAAGAGTAGAAAGGCTCTTTCCCCTGAGAGAAGTTCCTATGGGTGGAGCAGTTGGAGGAGTTGGGTTTGTACATGCACCTTTGACCACTTCTGAAGTCCAGGGATTTAAGAAAGTGCTAGGAAATTTACTAGAAAACCCCGTTGGAATATCTAACCAGTTAGACCAATTCCTAGGGCTGAATACTTGTACCTGGGCAGAGCCGAACTCTATTCTAAGCATCCTGTTCTCTCCAGAAGAGGTCCGGATGACCCAAACAGCAGGGGTGAAGATACGGGAAAGAGAAAATAGACTGGGGCCCCCAGGGGACCAAAAGATACCCTTAGTAGACTCCAGTTAGAATCCTAACCAGGAAGAAGGAAAGAAAAATATGAGAGACTATAGGTCCCCCTCATGATAAGAGGGATCAAAGAGTCTATCCCTAGGGGAAGCAACATGAAATTGGCCTTTGATAATACTCAAGAGAAAGATGAGACCCCAGCAATTTGGCTGAACCAACTAAAACGAAATTTCCAGTTATATTCAAATCTAGACCCAGATAGCCCAGAGGCTCAAGTCCTCCTAAAGGTCCAGTTTGTCACCAAATCCTGGCCCAATATTAGATGGAAGCTAGAAAAAATGGAGGACTGGCAAGAAAACATGAATGAGTTGCTCAAAGAAGCCCTAAGAGTATATTTAAAGAAAGAAGAAAAAGGCAAAACTAAAGCTAGAATTATAGTCACCGTTGCTCAAGAAAGTATAAGAGCAGACAGATCACCAGCACTGCCGTCTAAGTCAAGTGAGAATAGATAAGGGCCATTACCTAAAAAAAGTAGAGACCAACCAGCACCATCACATAAAGCAAATAAGAACTTTAATGAGTTCAGGAAACCTGAGGCTTCACAAAGCAACAGGAGATGCCATTACTGTGGTGAGATAGAACATCTTAAAAGGAATTGTAAGAAGTTTCAGTTTGATGAAGCAATGCATAAAGAACAAGAAGTCTTAGAAGATATTTCAACGGGAGACAACTAGGAGGGTCAGGGGCTCTATAAGTTACAGGATCCAATGAACCATCAAGAAGAACTCTTGATAAACTTTGAAGTAGGTCCCCACTATGAAGAATTTGAGTTCTTAGTTGACACAGGGGCAGATAACTCCAGCATAAACAAGTTACCATTAGGAGTCACCATTGGGAAGAAGGTCTGTGAGGTTTTAGGGGCAAAGGGAAAACCATTTAAAGCATCTATAGTTGAAAATATAGAAATCAAGGAGAATTCAAGACAATGTTTGGCAGACTTTATCTATCTGCCAAATTTAGTAAGCAATCTCTTGGGAAGAGGCTTGCAAGTTCAACTGGGAGTAGGGATCATCCCAAGAGGTGGAAGGACGGTAGTCCAGGTCATGAGACTGACCCAGAGAGACATAGGAAAAATAGACCCCAAAGTATGGGCAGAGGAAACTAAGTGTGGATACTTGAACATCACACCAATAAAAACAGAAATGCAAAGAGATACATCCCCTATCCAAGTCAAGCAATACCCAATATCCCCTGAAGGCAGAAGAGAATTAGCCCCAGTGATTGAACAACTACTAGAACAAGGTATTCTAGAATCATGCATGTCCCCCCATAACACTCCTATACTAGCCGTAAGAAAAGAAGAAGGGAAATACAGGCTAGTTCAAGACTTAAGGGAAATAAACAAGAAAACTATTACCAGACACCCTGTGGTATCCAACCCTTATACCCTTTTAAGCCACATTCCAAGAGAGCATGCCTGGTTCACAGCTGTAGATTTAAAAGATGCCTTCTGGGCATGCCCGCTAGCAGAAGAATGTTGTGACTGGTTTGCATTTGAGTGGGAAGATCCTGACAGGAGAAAGCAGCAGCTAAGGTGGACACGTCTCCCACAGGGGTTTACAGAATCCCCAGACCTCTTTGGGCAAGTGGAACTAGAGAAACTATGAGGGCAGTTCACCCCTGAGGAAAATATTCAGATCTTACAGTACGTAGATGACTTATTAGTATCTAGAGAAGAGCTGGACCAGTCAAAACCACCAGAGTTCGACTCCAAAATTTCCTGGGAGAAAACGGCCTAAAAGTATCCCAAGAAAAACTACAATTTGTGGAATCTGAAGTGACCTACCTAGGCCAAATAATTGGAGAAGGGTATAAGAAACTAAGTCCTGAGAATCTCAGATATCCTGTCTATCCAAGCTCCCAAGACCAAGAGAGATGTAAGGAAGCTACTAGGCCTGTTTGGTTATTGTAAGCTGTCGTTAGATCAATACACCAAAAGTGAGAAGTTCCTTTATGATAAATTAGTAGACTCTCAGCCTGTAAAGTGGACAGAAGAGGATGAGGAACAGCTACAAGATTTGAAAAATAAACTATCCTCGGCATCTGTTCTAAGCCTGCCTGACCTTAAGAAGGAGTTTAACCTGTTCGTGAGCACAGAAGGGGGAATTACATATGGGGTATTAACTCAGGAGTGGGGGAGACATAAAAAGCAATAGCCTTCCCCTCAGAACTATTAGACACAGTGGCTAGAGGATGGCAAACTTTTCTGCAAGTAATTCCAGCGGCAGCCATCCTAATAGAAGCCCAAAAGTTGAACCTGCAAAGGAAAATTGAAGTCCACACCCCCCACAATCTCAAAACAGTACTAAGACAAAAAGCACAGCAGTGGTTGACTGACTCTAGAATATTGAGGTATAAGATCATCTTAATGAACACAGGTGACTTAGAGTTAGTCACCTCCAAATGTCTAAATCCTGCACAATTTTCTCACTGGAGAACCCCTGGCAGATCAAGAACATGATTGTGTTGAACTCATAAATCTACAGACCAAGGTGAGAGAGGATTTAGAAGATGTACCCCTGCCATACAGGAGATTCCTTTTTATAGATGAGTCCTCAAGAGTAGTAGGAGGGAAAAAAGCCTCAGGATATGCTGTCATAGATGGGGAAGACGTGAAAGTCGCAGAAAAAGGGAAACTGCCCTCAAACTGGTCAGCCCAGTGTTGTGAAGTCTACACTTTGAAAAGAGGATTAGACCTGTTAGAGGGAGACCAAGGAACTATTTGAACAGACTTGCAATATGTGTTTGGAATCATCCATACTTTTGGAAAAATTTGGGAGGAGCATGGCTGCCTAAACTCCAAAGGGAAGAACTTGGTACATGAGAAGCTGATAAAACTAGTATTAGAATCCTTACAAAAAGCCCACAGAGATAGCTGTGGTGCATATAAAGAGACATCAGAAATTAAACACTCTTGAAGAAAAGGGAAACTGATTAGCAGATCAGATAGCTAAAGAAGCAGTCTTAGACTCAAGAAGTCCAGTAAAAGCTTTTAAAATAGAAATAGAACCAAGTAGAGAAAGAAAAGTAGAGCCAAGGTTCAGTGAAAAATAATTAAAAATAATAAAAGAACTAGAATTACATCAAGGGGAACAAGGAGAATGGTTAACTCCTGATGGGCGTAAGTTCCCAAATAAAGCCCTAGCTCGAAGAGTGCTAGTAGAGTTACATGAACTAACCCACTGGGGAATCCAAGGTTTGTGTGACCACTTTTTATGGGAGAATTTATGTATTGGAGTGCATGATCTGGCAAAGGCAGTCACAAGAGGGTGTGCGATCTGCCTGAAAACTGACCAAAAGGTAATGAGAAAAACAGCACATGGGGGAGGAAAACTGGCTTTAAGACCTTTCTGAAACATACAAGTAGATTTCACTGAAATGCCCTCTGTGCAGAGGTACAAACATATACTAGTGATCGTAGATCATCTCACCCACTGGGTGGAGGCTTTCCCAACCAAAAGAGAAACCGCGCAAGAAGTTGCAAGAATAATCTTAGAAAACATCATACCTCAATACGGACTAGTCAATAACACTGACTCGGACCAAGGCCCACATTTTGTCGCTCGAACTTTACATCAAGTAAGAAAAGCCCTGGGGATAAGGTGGAAATTGCACACCCCACGGCATCCTCAAAGCTCTGGAAGAGTAAAGGATGAATAGAACTCTTAAAAATGTGATAACCAAATTAATTGAAGACACAAAAATTTTTTTCTGAGGGAAAAAAAATTGGCTCAGATGTTTACCTCTAGCTCTGTTGCACATCAGAACAAGACCTCGGTCCAACGCAGGGGTCTCTCCCTATGACATGTTTGAACTCCCTTTTTTAATCACCCCTTTCAGTACAGCAGATTATCTAGAAGTGGAGGCAGCAACTCAGAAATATTTAAAAATCATAGGAAAATCCCTAGAAGGCCTCAGAAAGAAGGGGTAGCTCCCCCCAGACCTCCCCTCTGGATACCAATGCCCACAACATCAGTCCCGAGGATTGGGTGTTAATAAAGTCCTGGAACATCACCACTCCATTAACCCCCAAATCCAAAGGACCTTTCCACGTGCTACTCACTACACACAATGCATTTTGAACCCAAGAAAAAGGCTGGACCCATGTCACCAGAGTCAAAGGACCAGTACCACCCCCAGATGCCAGACCACACCCAACAAGGTCACCCACCTCCTCTTGTGTATGGACGTAATTAAGAGACCAGAGGACTTAAAATTAACTTTAAAGAAGACTTGCTAGAAACTAATATACAGTAAGGTGTTAAATAACCATTTCTGAGTTAAAGTACCATAGTAACAGTTTAAGTACTTTGCAATTGTTTAATAAGAATAAGCGTCCATTAGCCAAAGAAGTTAATTGAAAAATTTCTAGTTAAAATATTATTAAGTCTTACTTAGTTTCTAGAGAATGGGAGAATTACCAAAAGAAGTTAGCCCTCAAAAGCCAGAGACTGTAAGTTGATGCAGGCTTAAGCCCGATCAAAGGACTAGAGGAGGGATTTGTAATGAACAAAGTTCCCAGTGCCCCCGGGGTCACCGGGTGGACAGGGACTTCCTGGTTCCCATGGCAACACTGGAACAGTTGCTAGTTCTAGTTAAGTACCGATATTGAAATGTTAATTACCTAGTTGCTCTGTTTTCTCTAAACCACATGGAAGATCACCTACCCCCCACCCATGCTGCCATTCTAGGACTAAGATGCAAATAGGGAAACCCATGAAACCATGGGAGCATGTTTTGGGGGTTATGGACACCCCTAAATGAAGAACTAAACACAATTGAGGGGGCTGGACAGGTACAATACGCTGGCTGACAAGAGGAAAACATCCCTGATCGACGTTTGAGCTGTCACCATAACCTATGGAGGACAAGACTAGAGTGGGCTGTAGGAAGCAGGAACAAAGAGGCAAGATTTTCCCGGTGTTACCACGAGGAAAAGAAGAGGGAACACCTGCTGCTGGGACTTCAAGAACAGACTTTGCACGCCTCCTCACCCTTCGGCTACCTGGAAAAGCTACAACAGCAGGGGCGAGCTCCATGTCGGGCCCCCTGCCCAGCTGATCTTTTTAATAAAGATCTGAACATTGATAAAGGCATAAGCCCTGTTCATTTCATAATTATCACACCAATATGAGAAGTGTAAAGAACTTACTCATTTTCTTTCTTTCCACCCTGAATCCACTGCTTGAGCAGATACTCGTAGTAGCTGTCAGCTCTGGCTCCCAGAGTGTAGACTCCCAGGTGGGTGAACTGCCCACTGTTGGTGTTGATGAACATAGGCACTAGGCCATCATTTTTCCCTGAGAGGATGTGAACATGCTTCATCACCTCATCTACAGCCTTCTACAAGAAAGGAAATGGAAAACATAAATTATAGATATGAATGAGGTACAGAACTGTGTCTAGTCACTATAGCACATTAAAAAACTTGTAACTTTGCTTCCCCAAATTAGCATCAGGGACATCAAGTTCAGCTAGAGCAATGTATTAAATTCAAGACTTCAGACTTCTGGACTCTCAAAACATGATGTTCTGGTTATATTCAAGTACTCTGAAGCAAGTATAACTGCTTCGTTTCCTTGAAGGCAAGCCCACTCAGACTTGCAAAGTAGAAGTCCAGCAAAAAATCAACTACAAGAATCTATTTAGCATAGCTAAGGTTCTTTAAATTACTGCATTCTTCAACACTGAGCTGTGGATACAGTTCAAAATAGCAACATCACCAAACAAAAAGAAAAATGGAAAATATTTAGTTTCTCTGAAATTCTTTTTATTTCAACTAACTTTTCCATGCTCTCAGACTCTTAACTATTGAGTGACATTTTAGTTCCTTGGATGGTAACATTTCAGTTTTGTTCTCTGCATATAAAAAACAGTATCAAGAAACCACACTTAGAAATTTTTGTTTTTCTAATTAAATGCTGTTTCTGAAGGAAAAAAAAAATTACTCATCTCCACTACAACTTCTGGTATTCAATAAAATAATGGAATATTTTGTTTCTTTTTCTTCCCTTGTCTAGAGTTTCCCAACTTATTTATCATAACTTACAGACTCCTGAGACTGTGAGTACTGGTGGAGAGTCAGTGGTAGAGCTGCAGAGAAATGGAAAAAGAGAGCTATATCAACTGATTCTTCCATACCCGGAATTTCTCATCTCCAGTCAGACGAGAGAGCTCCCTGAACTCCAACTGAATGCTGGTCACCTCTGCCACAGTGCTGTCAGATGTCCAGCGAGGGGGATGTGCAGTACCCCGACCAAGGTTGACATCAGAATATGGTATCTTGGAGGGGGTCTTGAATGCTGGCATAAGCCTGTTTCCAATGTCTTTCTAAAGAAAACCCCGGAGCATAGGACAAAACAACAGTCAAACCAAAAATATATATAAATGGACATCCCATTAGACTTTCTTCACAAAGCAGAAGGAAAAGATAGAACAGCAGCTTAGTTTTAGATGGTGCAAGCAATTAAAGACATTTTAAAATTCATTAACTTATTCATAGTAATGAGCAGAGTTTCCAGCTTGTCCTAAGCACTGCAGGCATCATCTGAGGCTGCAATCCCTATCATGCAGTCACTGGCTGATCTAACTAATCTGATGAAGTGCTGATGCTGTTAAGATACACAGAAAGGGCAACAAAAAACTACTATTACCCTTTGCCAATCATTTATTTCTTCTTTTGTTTCATGAACTTTATGATGGTCAGCCATTCATCAGCAGAAGAGCAGACATACAAGGAGGTGACAAACACAGCAAAGCTTTGAGGTTGTACAGAGAGCAAAAGTGCAGGCTTCACAGCTGAATGGTAAATGCCTTTCCCACCACTTTATGAAACTGTTAAAAACATGCAACATTTAACTTTCTGAAGAATCTTCCCTCAACTTTGTCCAATATGAAATACATAACCTAGTTTCATTTTTAAGGCCAGACACTCACAGCTTTTTCCAGGAAAAGGCTATCTCCAGAGAGGTGGTAGGTGCTCAGCAAGCCACCCAGGATACGGATAGTGCTCTCAAACAGGTTCACATCCACATTTTTATCAAATACTAAATCATTTGCTACCCATTTTCTTGCTTCTTCAAACTCTGCAAAGCATAAAAGGTAGTTCAGTTATGAACTTCTGGCATGTTCCAACAACTAAAGACATGAGTTCTCCATATATCCATTACAGTTACTTGTACTTGTCTACAGAGATGACAATTTTAGGTGAAAAATTAAAATGAAGAGCACATGCTGGAAGAAGTTTCATTACCATTGGCTTAATTCTTATTTAGCATACACCACAGATGCATACAGACAGAAATAGCCACCAAAACAGAAAATCCTTAATAGTTTAAGAAAATAAGAAATAGAAGAATTTTTTATTAATATAGTCCAATGTTTCAAATCCATCCATTTGACTTGTCAGATAATTAGTTACACTTCCACAAAGCCTTCTAGTTTCAGTAAAATCTTTTTTCAACCAAAGCCATTATCCAGCAAGATAACAGGTAACATTTTCAGATAATAGCTTTAGCATAGCAATATCCTCAGGAGCCTGCTTCTTGCAAGATATTGCAATCTTTTTCTCTAGAAACAAAAATGGTTGTTTATCACACTACTGATTCAAAAGAAAGGTTAAAAGAAAAGCTATATTAGGTTCATCAATCAGCTTAGCAGCAGCATCTCTCAATGACTGCTTTGGCACAGGGTCTCCGTGGCGCATGTGAGTCAGCTTAGCCCTCACAATTGGAGGCTGAGCTATTTCAGTGATCTCACAGCTTCTGGAAACTCCTGCTTGTGAGAAGCAGAACAATCAGTTTGCCAGAAATGGAAGGCATTCCTTAGGAGATAAACTCTGAAGCAAATGGATGCCTCTGCACCCTTCAGTCTTGGATGCTGAGCAAATACAGGATGTTGGGCACATTGAGAAGAACTACTAAAAACCTTCAGTCGGTGTTGTCAGTAGTATAACAGCAAAGGCAGAGCCATTTGCCACAGAATCTTTTGCATTCATCAGCTGCTAAGAAAGACTACCAACCTCAAACAGAACTTGCATTTACATAGCATTTTTTATTCAGAAGAAAGCCCAGGAGCTCTCTAAGGCAGTCAGCAGAACTGATATAAAATAGAAAGAACCCCTCACCAAAAACCCAGTTTCAACACATCTCTAATACTAATAATTTATTTTAAAAACTCTATACTCAGTTCAAAATTATTTTTTTAGGAAAAAAAAGATCAACATACTGACAACTTGACATCTGTTCTTCCTATCATGAGATAAAAATCTGCAAGTTTAATAAAAGTTTACAAAGGTGGTTACTGACCATGGTTAAATAGATACAGTTCCAGAAATCTTTAAGTACCATTAAAAATCCCTCTGCATCACAAAAAAAAAAAAAAAAAAAAAAAAAAAAAAAAAAAAGTCCCAAACAACCAACAACAAAAAAATTGTCTTAAATGCTAATTAAGCATTTAAGTTGTTTGCAATAGAATTGCAAAATTTTTGGCTTAGTTTTTAAAATCTGTTCAAAAGTTTTCTAGCATGGTAATTTCAAGAATAACTCTCAACTATACAGACAACAAAACTATTCAGGAAAGAGGTACTGAGCACTCTCTTTCTCCACCCATGGATTCCTTACAGAAACAGCCTTCTTAAATCCATATATGAAATATTGGTATTAGGTGTGAGAAAACACAAGCAAGGAACATAGAGACAAACTACCCAAGAGTGATAGGCACAAAATCTCCAGTGGCTGTATGGCACAGAGGTTTTAGTACAGAAACAAATACCAGGAAGTTTATTAAAACATCCCTCAAATTCTACCAGATACACACATACGTATGTATACACAATGTATGCATGTATGTATTTACCCTCACAGAGAAGCTAAATTTATAGACCACACGTAATAAATATTCTGAGTAGGAACTGCCTGAAGAGAAATTAAAGAATTATTTTAGAGGAAAAAAATGGAAGAGGAAAAGAAATTACCTTCTTTTAAGCCTAAAATCCACATGGTATCCAAGGCGTCAATTAAGGTAAGCCCAAGTCCAAACCACTCGCTGTAGGACTTGGACAAAGGCTTCAGCTCATCATGACCCCAGGCAAAATCCTTGTAACCTTTCCAGGCATGGCGGAAGGCTTCAATCACAGCCAGCTGGCGCTCATTGATGGGCACTGCAAAGGAGAAACGGCACCCTGCTCAGGACTTCTGCAGGGGACTGATAGAACTCTACCATGCACCACTTTACTGCATTCCACCGAAAATAAATTTTCCTCCAAACTAACTGATCAGTGCAAATGGAAAAACCACCCTCACATTATTTGTTTCAGAACAGCCTTTCCTCTGCAGAATAACCTAGTGTTTCCAGTCAGCAGTTCAGCCAAATTCTCTGGAAGAGAGAAATCTCTCTGGAAGCAGAGATTTCTCCCTGGCAACAAAACTGTCACTTCTGCAAATAAAACATTAAAATAATCACATGCACATCTGTAGATGAGTATCACTAAAGCTCAAAGACATGAAAGTCAGGAAATACCAGATTAAGATCCATGGTTATCCAGGTGTTGAATACATATGCTTACAATAAAATCCTCAGCTAATTCAACACATAACATCTTTTCTTCATCTTCCCTCTTACTAACTGCTTTCTGTTAAATTTAAAATCACTTATAGAAAATTATTTCTATTGAACTTTCTGTTTAATACCAAAATAGAAAGAAAATTTACATTTTCCATCTTGGCAAAACCATGTCTTTTTCCATAGTTGTACTGATTTTTTGCTTGCAATCTGCCATTAAGTGGACCTTATGTTACATATTGAACATGAAAAATTTCAAGCCATTAGCTGAAATTTTGAAAAATTATGAGCAAAGACTTCTAGAATGGGAAACACCAAGCAGCACAACTAACCCCATAAATTTTAAGCTTGCAGAAGTGCAAATACATCACACTGAAATATGCCACATTTATCACATCAGAACTTCCTGGTTTCTTTTCTGAACTCAGAAAAAGGAACAACAGATTCTTAGGTCCACAAGCGCAGCAACTTGAAAAACAACTTCTGCAGCTCTCTGGTGAGCTTTAAAAACAGTTCCGTTTAGTTCAGGGAGGAAGTCACTTTCACTGTTTTTGCAGAACAAAAAGAAAAGCACTGTTGAAGAGGAAGCTGTCTCCTCCATGCCCTCCTTCTTTAGGTTATACTGCCTCTTCCCAGAGGCGATATTTCAAAGATTTGTCTCTAAAATTTGTTTCCAAATTCTGAAGGCTAGCAAGCTTGAAGGCTGGCATAGTGAAATAAGAACACTGAAAAACTACAATATTCTAGGTAAGCAATCTCCCCTACACTTTTTGTTTCATTTAATCTAAATAAATAAATAACATAATGTGTATGGGGAGAAATTGCACAACTTAAATCATAAAAGCAAACAAAAAAAAAGGTATCATTAGCTGTCCTATTTACCTGCTTCTTTCCGGTCTTCAGCTTCCACAGATGAAGGTTTTTCTGGTTCCATTATTTTACTGGATGGTGGTTCAGTGCTTTGGTCAGGTTCTATCACTGCTCCTCTCCAGCTGCAAATACAAGGGACTTATTTTGGTCACAGAAAATCATGCAAATGAATGGGACTTATCTCTGTAATTCCTTTATCACACAATACTTTGATAAAACAGAAGTTAGATTTTTTTGTCAATGATCAAAATGATTATGTGACCCACTAAGTAAGTTTTCTGTTCAAAGAAATTTTCTTTGCAGAGAAATTTGCTCGATTAAGAAATATGTGTTACAAGCTCTTGGAATTTAATTAAATATCTCGGCAATGGAATTTAATAAAAAACTTCTTAAAATAAACACCTGAAAATGCTGTATTACAAGCAATTTGTTATCTACCAGCTCTGAAATGACCACAGTAGCTGCTGATGCTTAACAGTATGTCATGGTTTGACACGGGAAGAGAATTTTTTTTAGAAGGAAGAGGTTCATCCAGTCAGGGGTCAGGTTTGGATACTGACACTTGGGGTGACCAATTGAAGGTGGACACGCCTCTGAGAACACAGAGGGGTTAAAAGCGGAATTCCCAGGAGGACTCGTCCTTCTTTGGTTCTGGTCATCGCATGATACGGACCTTCCCCCCCCAGCCCGGGCTGGGTGGGGGAGAGGAGCCATGCGGCCTGCACAGGTAGGCCAGGAGGTAAAGGATCGGAACCGGCTGGGTCAGCTCCTGCAGATGGAAGGGTGGAGAAATCTGGGATGTCTCCGTTCCCCCCCCAGAGTCTCTCTCTCTCCCAAGAGAGAAAAAGAGACAGCGGTGGTTTTATCGGCAGTTCGCCGCAGGGAAGGAGAAGAGCGGGGGGGCTGCAAGGTGCCCAGCCAGGCTGTGGGAGCTGGAGCCTGGGCAGCGAGCCATCCTTGGGAGTTGGGACTTTTAACCCTTCCTGAGAAATGAAGGCTTTATGAAATATTACTCCTCCTGAATTTGAAGAAAAGAGAGACAGCTTGAAACCTCAGATGTTTAGAGAAGAAGGTTGGGGGCAGATGATAGAGTGGCTTTTGGCTGGACTCTGCTTGTTTACCATAGACTGAACCACTCTTTCTTTCAAGAGGGACTGCATTTTAGGGGGATGCATTGGTGAGCCAAGAGACCTTCTGCAGCAACTACCAGTTTTGGAGTGGACAGAGAGAGAGCTGAGAAGGGTGTGAGGATGCCCTCCATCTTCAGGAAGAAGAGAAGGCGATCTCTGTCTTTTGGACCCTCGGCCCCAGGGGAAAATGGGGGGGACTCTAGTCCCGAATTGTGATACTGGACTGTTGTTCCTGGTGGTCCTTGGCAAAGCATCCTTAAAGGGGCCCTATAAGCAGTCTCTGTCCATGCCCGGTGGTGAGAGCACTGTGACATGGAGAGGAGAGTGTCACACTGGCTGGTGTGTCTGGGCGGTGCCACGTGTGACATTGGAAACACAAGAGGTGGCGGTTGTGTTTCCTGGGGGTCTATGGTTGCAAGGGGGACTCCTCTCTTCCCCGATGGACTCAGTATTGATTATATTGAAGGGTGAAAACTTGATTAAGGATCCAAATGGGTCTAGCTGGGGTTTGGTGGAGTTGGGTGGAGGGAGGAGAAATGTTTTGGAAGGTTTTCATTTCGAATTTTGTGTGTTTTTATTCTTTCCTTTCTTTTCCTTTTATAATAGTAGTAGTAGTAGTAGTGTAATAAAGCTTTTTCCTTTGTTATTAAGTTTGGCCTGCTTTGCTCTGTTCTTGATCACATTTCACAGCATTTGATTGGTAAGTTGTATTTTCATGGGGCGCTGGCATTGTGCCAGCGTATAACCATGACACAGTACCATGTGGAATCCTCTGAATCCTTCCCCCTAAGGGAAATCCCCAGGGCCTTGCCTTGAAAGAATATATCATAGTTTCTCCTCCTAGGTCGATAGAGAGGACTCAGCCCATGGTGCTCTGCAGCACTATTGCCAATCTGCATTAGATTGCTTCCCCCACTGGCTAGTTGACACTGCCCACCCCATCTATTCATCCCTCATTGCCCCTACAGGTTGATGCCCTTTGCCCTGTTCTCGTGGCCTTATGCTGAGTGGCTTCTGAAAGACGCTTTGAAGAAAGTTGCAGCATTTCTACCACCCTGCCACGCTGCAACAGTACCACATAAATGATGATCACCAAAACTCATGATCAAGTACAAAGGATGAGATGCTCAAAGTACTAACTCTGCTATCAAGGGATCACAAGCCTTCTCTTCCACCACAGATGCGTAAATCAGTTTTTACAGGTTTTCATGAAGAATCTCCTGAAGGAGAAGTCTTTCAGAGAGGACTTCAAGTCAGGCCAAGTTCATATCAAGATCAAACAATCTCAACCATACCATTTAATATATAGGTATGGTGCCTTTGAGCCTGTTATACGCCTCCTAAGGGAACCAGGCTTACAGGACCTTTAAAGTCTATAGTGTTCACTTTAACAGTCTAACTGCTTACAGTCAGCAGATCTTCTGACTTAGATAAATGCCATATTTAATTTCTTACTTTAATTCTTTAAATTTGTAGCTAGTCTTCACTATGTTTTCATTGCTCTTTTAAGTTCTCTTGTTACTACCTGTTTAAGTCTGTGAGTTACAGCACAAGCAAAAGCAAAACAATAAAACATTTTCAGACAATACTGACAGCCAAAATGCTGAGCCAGGCACAGTTCTGATGCTATCATCAGCTCATCTGAGCAAATGCTAAAGAGAACATAAAACACATAAAACCCCCAAGCCTCATGTTCCAAATATGAAGGACCTCCGCTGAACTTTTGGTAGTCTTTTCTATATCCACATTACTTTCCTTCACTTATTCCCAAATTAAAACACTTCCATAACCATAGAAGCACAGACCTCTTGTTAAAGATACTACTAGATCTCTACAAGGGATGAGATATCTTGTAGGAAAGAAGTAAGCACATGGTGTTACACATACACAACTACGTACACATCTATTGGTTCTGCCTGGTCAGTCTGGACCCACTGTTTTTAGTGGCACCAATCCACGAGCAGCACTGACACTGCTATCATTTTCCAAACCTGCCCCAGGACAAAAACACTTGTAGCAGCAGCACTATTACATCGGTACTGTTAGATTAACATTTATTACAACAAACAGCAGAAACCTCTGGACACTGAGAATCCTTCTGAATATTAAGAGTGTCTAAGTGCATTAGAAATACAGCCAGCCTCGCAGGGCTTCAAACCCTCTGCAGCTGTGTGATGCAAACAGTAAAATCAGAGAAACTGCACATTCATCAAAATTAAATATATCAGCCTAGTAGTATCAGCAGCTATCAGGCCAGGCCTGAAAACAAACCCATGCAAAGAAAGAAAATAACCTTGGAAACATATAACAAAAAGCCCTTAAAATTTTCACTCTAACACTCAATGGATCTTGGCGGGGGCAAGGGGGTTCAAAGCACTGTACCTTGCCTGAAACGTTTCTACCTGATAATGGATTTCTCAGTTTTCTCTACTTTATGCACTTCGACCAGCTCTTCTACAGCCCTCATGGTATCATGTCGGGTCTTCAGCCTCGTGTCTCTTTGTGGTGCCTTGATCTGAAGATTGGAAGGACCACGACGAACATGAGGCAGTTTTGGTGGTTTCTGAGAATAGGAAAAAAAAAAAAGTGCTTGGTCGGGTGCAGAAATAGTCAAACTTCAAACCATAAATCAACATCATTTCAGTATTAAACATAAATTCAGATAAAGGTTATTTTGTTTGTTTTGCAGCAGGCAAATTCTGACCTGAGTAGAATATATGCTAAAGACCTTGTGGTTTTGTTTGCTTTAAACTTTTGGTAAAATCATCCTGTTCTTAAGTTTACACTGATAAATTACTTCTAAACTACCTCTACTGCTCCCAAGTATTCATTTAACACAAGGCAGTGACAAAGGATTGTAAAGATATTTGATTCCATTTTACTAGGCACAGTAAATTTATGAGAACTTGCAAAAAGAATGCAAAAAAGTTTCCACAATCCCATTGTAAATATCAAAAATTACTATACAGTAATACATGTACATTTTTGCATGACTAAGAAAAAATTTCATATAAAATTTTGTATTCCTTAACTGAAAATCCCTGAATTCATGAGATAAATTCATTAAATACAACACAGTAACCAGTATTCCTTTGCTTCACTAATTCAGGCAGTCGATGTTCCTTTCCCACTGCATTCCCCACAAACATAACCCTTCAAAACCTCCTATCATCTGCTCATTCTGAAGCTATTTCTCAAGCTTCCAGATAAACCATGACTCCAGGCTCCTCACAAGAGTGGAGACTGATTCACACAGCACAAGTAAAGCCTCAAGTAAGAGGTCACTGCGACACAAAGTCCTGGCACTCCTGGGCAGAGCAGTGAGTAAAAAAACAGCATACAGAACATGTATATAAAAAAGATAAAGCCAAGAAATACTACACCAAAGCCCTCCCTGACAGGACAGAATTCCACAAAGAGAACAAGTTTATTGCAAGTTCTAAGTCCTTCCTCTCCAACAACTGTTGGAACCAAGCACTATTTGCCTTCACAAATTCTTTGTCGCATTAGAAAACTAATTTCTTCTCACATTACCTGCAGTGAAAGCTCAGGGTAGTCTCTATGGTTGGCATCTGCTTTCTGGGGTGCTGGTAGAACAGCTGGATTTGCCAGTTTCAATCTAGGAATTTCTTGTTCTTTTCTCTGATCATCCAACGATTTGTTTGTTATACCTAGATACACAAACAACTCAGCACAAGGAATCAACAGCTAAGGCTGCAATTAGAAATTTATAACAGTTTGCTGTATACAAGTAGTAGATGCACTTCCAAAAACTGTTTGCATTCACAAAGCATTGATAAACACACACTAATTTTTAGATACAAAGCTTATTTTGGTATTACTCCTCTCCCTAATATAAACGGAAGCTGCTAAAGAGCACATGGGGATTTTTTAAATTGCTAGTATTTCAGTTTATCAATACAATTAATAAGATAATATCAGAGGTAAATGTGCATTAGTATTATCCAAATGCTTAGAACTTCTAAACTGACAGGCAGGCAAAACCAAGAATTAGCTGATTCTAGTAATTAGATTTGAGCTACCCGTAGCTACATACAAACATAATCAAAAAGAAAAAACACACTCAAAACCTTCAGGTCTTAATCAACTGTCATAGTTTAGGAACAGTACTTCCCAATTCAGTGCTCCCTGTCCACAAAAACCACATTGCCATTCTCTTTCCCTTTTCTGTTTTGCCCTCCCTCTTCCCCTTCCCTCTGAGGTGGATGAGTTGAAAATTGGACACACAGAAGGCAAACACCACAGGTTGAGATAAGAACAATTTTGGGGAAACAGCAATGAAATAAGAAAACAAACAGTAAGGCCAACAGTATTAATAACAAAAGGTATAGGAAAAATAAACTATTTACACAAAGGCATGAATACAGACTGCTGCCCCTGCCATGTTTTCTCTACCAGAAGGAGCCCCTTCTCCCCTCTCTCACACCCAGCAAGGACAGAGGTGGTACAGAATAGCATCCAGGCCTTAGCCACACCCCCTCCCAGCTACTTCAACAAATTAACAATCCTGACTGAAACCAGGACATCAACTAAAATAAAACGTTGCTCTAGTCAAGATAAAGAAAGTAAAGGCACACAAAATATATTTTTGAGTAAGCATTACGTCATTCAAACATCACATAAAATCATCTCAGAACTGCACTTTAATGAATACACCTAGTCATTACCAATGGAAATTAAAACTGGTTATAAGACCCACAATCATCTCCCAACTCTTAACACCTCATTCTGGCAATTGTAAGCCATACAGAACACATACTTTTCCATGTTTCCCCCATGCTTGTGTATGAAATTGCTCCACACAGTGCCAAGAACGCAAACAGGAAGAGAATGACACTCCGCTGGAGTCGGGACAGCTGTTTCCATTTCTTTAGGAGAGAAAAGTAGTGAAAGAAAGAATATTTAGTATAACATTAAGAACCTACTTGGTTAAAAATAAACTCTTATTGGTTCATCCAGATTAAAACCCACAAAATTGACTAGGTTTAATTTTACCCTGCATATAATTTTCCAACTGCATATATCTATTGCTTATTTTCTTTAATGACAGAAAACACAAGGCTAGCAAGGCAGCTAGCACAAGACACTCACAAAAACATAAGAGCCACTTACCAAGAACCTCAGAACCTGCCAAGTGCCAAGAGTCCCAGAAAGCTTCAACTACAGCTGACTTCAATCACAGTCTCCATTGGCTGACCTGAGCACCTGCTCAGCTATCAAATAGGAAATCAGCCAAAATCTTTCCTCCTGGCTGGGGAGTGCATATGCAAAATTAGAAACAGAAGAAAATGCCAGGAAAACTAAAAATGTTACTGCAGCAAAGAAGAAAGGCTCAAAATAAGCTGAGCACCAATCACTGGCAGATCGTGGGTTTGATCCTTGTACGTTTGTTTAAAGAGTGGGTCCCTTCCAACTCAGAATATTCTGTCAATCTGTGAAAGAGAAGTCAGGTATCCTGGCTCTGACAAGCATGGGAACTTTCACACAGAACAAATTCTGCACCACAAAAAAAGAGGCACCAACCTGCAACAATGTGAAAATTAAGTAAAATACCACAACAACTAACAAGACAAACCCACAATCTTTTTAAGTTTAATCCTGGGCAAAAATGTATTGTTAACACTAGATTATATGTAATAATCACTAAAAAATTGACAGCAAATGACATTAACCTGAAAGAGGCCAAGGTACATTAGCTTCCATTTACAGAGAGAGAAGCTGGAATTAAACATCAACGGCTAAATTGCCACCACTACTTTTCCAACAGTAGTCCTGAAATTCACTAATTCTGGATATACAGAGGGAACTTCATTGCCAATGCTACACTTGGGAACGACCTTTCCTACAAACACACAGTACTTCCCACAGTCCTCATCCTCTTAGCAACAGCCAGAGGCCGGGAATGTCTCGGTGCAGAACTGACAACGTGCTCACACTGTGAGTCCCACAGCACAGTTTCCTGCCTTCCACCTGTACTGTTGACTGTACAGGAATACTGTATACCTTCTCTGTGCACACTGCAAGATGCTGGTCCCTCTGTGTCATCTTCTGTTCTACCTGCTTAGCAAACTCTATGACCCTCTTCCCACTGCAAAAAGATGCTGGAAATCCAGCAGCCCTGTGGTTCATCAAGGTAGGACGAGAAAATAAGCTTTAATTGTGGTGTCTTGCAATGGGTAGGAGTAAGGCACATGAATATGCGAGGACATTCACCACCATCTTAGTGGTTTTTTGCTCACAAAGAATAAGTGTAAAATGAAGGGTGATGGTTCGGGCCCGTATCTCTCTAGGTGGTAATAAAAACAGAACTGTGGGACTGTGTGCGTAAACAAGCTCTTCATACACTTCACCTGATGACCTGTAAAGCCTCTATAGGTGACTATACATCACCTCCTATCTCTAACAAAGGTTATCTTGGTCCTCTGACACACTTTCCCACACAAGACTCTTCAGCCCAAGACTCCCATTGCACATGAAGTTGTCTGCCCATTCTACCCACAAGCAGAAAATTTCACTTCCCAGAGCTCTGCCAAAGGATGCCTCTTCTCACACTCAGCTTCCACACTGTTCCCTTTACTCTCCATGGGCAGAAGACAGGACTCTCCCCTGAAGCCTTAACACAGGGACCAAAGGCACAGAGACCAAATCTCACTCCCCTCATTCCTGTCCAGAGAGCACAGCGTTGCTCCTCAAATGTCCACTAGCAGAGGGCAGGACTTTACCGTATGGCCCCGGTCCCAGCTTTATTGGTGAAAATTAAGACATGACGTGGAGACAGCTCAGCCAGACCGCGCCTTACTCACCCCTACCCCGCGGAAAGCAGCTCCGCGAGCACTCTGAAAGCAGAGCCCAGAGCGGGGCCGCCCCAGAGCCCAGGGCCTACATCCGTGGCCTCTGCCCGACTCGGAACTGAGGGACGACGCCAGGTCCCCCATGACACTCCAGCTGCACCTAAGCCTAGGGACGTTCCTGACCACCCAACAGCCCTCCCCCATCACCCCGTGCCCCCGCACCCAGCCCGAGGATAACCCAATACCGCACAGCTCCCTGCACGGCCCTCACCCGCCAGCAGGAGCGCCGCCGCCAGGCCTTGCTGTTGTTGTAGCCACCGACCCCGACCGCCTCCTCCGGGCCGAGAGTGACCGAGATGAAGTCCCGGCGCGGCGATCCCGCGGCTGCGGCACCCGAGTACATGGCGGCGCCTCAGGGGCCGCCTGCCGCCATGGCTCCGCGGGACGGAGCGGCTACTTCCGCCAACCGCTTCCGGTGCCGCTCTGGCGCCGGCGCGGCCGCGCTCGGTGGCACCGGGCGAGGCGGGGCCGGGCGCGTCCGGCGGCGCCGCGGAGACAGCGGCCCTGAGGAAGCCCCGTCGGGACGGGCCTTTTCCGCGGGCGGGCAGGAGAAGGTCTCAGCCCGCACTGCCCACCCGCCGAGCCGCCCCGGGGCCGTAGCCCTCGGCGTGGGTACGGCCCAAGGCCCCCACCTACTTCATGGATTCCGGCTTCAGGCCTGGGCGGGGGTCCTCAGGGCTGCTTTGATTTTGCCCTTGCCTCTCGCTGTCCCGGCGCACCTCGCCGACCTGTGCCCTGCCCAGCGAGGACAGCAGCTGCCGGGGTGGGCAGTGAGGCAAAGGAGAGGCTGGGAATCATCGCTGTTCTTTGGTGTCGTGAGACTACAACATAGGGACCAGTCACAGAGTCATTGGCATGGAAGAAATGTAAATGAAGACGCGCATGTGGCAGATAATAAGGAAAATCAGCTCAGTAAATGACTTGCAAGTCCCCATGGAGCTGGAAGTAGGCCGCTGTAGTGAGGTGCAGCCCCGGCACTGTACCCGGACCTGTGGAGGAGGTACGGCCACTGCGGCTCCTCCCGCACACCTGCAGAGCGAGCACGGCCAAACCCCGAAGTGCTGCTGCCTCCGAGAGCACAGGAAGTGCTGTCTGATGGCATTATCACCTGCTACCGGAAAACCGAGACACAACAGTTTTCCAGCAGGCGGTGCTGGAACACGGGCCTGAGAGCAGACAACTGGAATCTGTGAGAGGATGTATGTGAGTGGGTGAAACCAGTTGTGTCAATAGACCCTTCCATAAGACCTGGCACTGAATTTTGGTGTGCAGTAGGAAGCACTCATCCCACACAATTCCTTTCTTCAGTTGCTCCTCCACAGCCTCCCAGCCCTGTGTCACTCCCTCTGCAATTAAAGATTTCCCTGTGGAGAAGGAGGGACAGTCAGCTGGAGTAGGGAAGAGTATTGTTTAGTGATGTACACATTCAGAGCCATAGCATAGCAAATAACTTCTAGCACAGGTTCATAGTCCAGTTGGAAGAAGGCAGCATTGAAGCAGCTGCTTTAAGACTGCTGCTTTAAGTGCTGGCAGTGAATTCACCTCCACTATGCCTAAGTGGCAGGTTAGCATCCATCATTTGAGCCTTTACATTTGGAATCCACCTCACAGTAGATTTCAAGATAAAACTGAAAATTTGGTGTTTTCTGAACATTTAATGATTAAGACAACTAATGAATCAAAAATCCTAGTAGATACAAAGAGCACATAAATGAGCAGAAGAACAATTTAAGATGCCTAAAGCATGCATTCATTTTTAGTACTATTTTCCTACCACAGGAAAATCCCCAGCAGCCTTCACACATGGGTGTCAAGAGAGAAATGGGGAAAGAGGTAAGAAAGGAACATTTGCTTCTGACATATGCTGGGTTCAGCCCTAAACCCCCAAATGAGGGCAGTCTGCCATTTGTAAGGTATTTCTGCCTTTCCCTACTGATTGTGCTATAAATACAGCAGTGTTTAAGAAGTGCCTCTCAATGTAAAGTAAAAGTTGCATTGCAGCAAGTGCTCATTACCTACACACCAGCTGTGAGACTGACTCAGAACCATATTACTCAAATCAACTTGAAATAAGACAACCACCACCTGCAGTTAAACCCCCTTCCCTCAATAAACTAAGCTGAAAAGCTTGGGAAAATATACAGGATTGGAGACAAAAACATACTCTGTTTTCTGAAGAAAAAAGAGATCCCACAATGTCAACTCCCTTCAGGAATCACCCTCTGCTCAGTTCCATAGGCCCCTGTAATCTGAAGAGTGGGCACTGCAGTGTCCAGATGCACCACCAGTGACACCTTCCTGCATCTGTAGTGACAATATTCACAGGGACAGAGACAAGAAGTATGTTTTTTCTCACATACAAGAAACACAGACAAACACATAGAAATCACAGTAACATCTTTATTGATAAAAATACTTAGATGTCCAGAAGTTTCTGGAGTACTACAGATCTTCCCTTTGTTTCAGGTACTTTTTTTTCATTTTATAATGCATACAAAGACTGTTACATACAGGACAGATTTTTTTTTTTAAAGTTCTCTCAAAATTGTTTCTTATGTTCCAGTTTAAAATGTGAGGAGTCATAGAAAATAAAAAACCCAAGAGACAAGGCATTTAGCATTCTAATTTAACTTCTTGAAAACTATGTCAGCAGCTCTGTTCTGTGTGCATTGAAACTGAAGTTTCAAAAGAGAAAGAACTTTAGAAAAAGCAAAAGAAATATTTCCTTATAGCACAGCACAATATAAAAGAAGCATGTGCTTGAACTGCTGAGCAATACTCACAAATTTACAACACAATTTGTTCCCAGATATAAAACTTGACTGACAGGAATGCAATGTGTCACAGAAACACTACAAAAAGACTACAGAATTGGGTGACAAGGACAAATGCCTAATTTATACTAAAAATGTGAATTAGTGGCTGCACATGCCAACTGAGGTAGTCAGAACCAGGCATTAACTGGTCTGCATGTGTGAAAGGATCATTACTCAAGTTCATGCAGAAACACTTTACAACCAAAAACTCTGATACTGACATTTAGATACTTTCTTTGGAAAACTTGAGCATACTTACAAACTGTATTTACTCTCAAAGTAATTTTTATATTTCCCCATTCCTTTCTCTATGATTCTGAATAGAGCTTCACATCAGAAATTACAGAAAGCCATGGAAGAACTTAATTATGCTTAATGAAATAACAAGCAATAGAAGCATGAAATAACGTTTCAGATGAAATGTCTTTCTCGCTACCTTCCCAAACACTACCTTTAGGGAAAGAGTATGGAATATTTCTGATGCAAAGGCCAGCCACCAGAGCCAGCCATCCTCACCAAGGCTGAAACGAGTTGGGTATGATCAGCGCAGGTTCTGCATCAGATGGGCATGAGCTTTCTGGGGCAGTGTCCAAAAACTGAACACGAAGAATCACTGGTGGGTCAAGGGTCAGAGCTACCCTGAGACCCCGTGGCCAGGGCTGAGTTCAAATGCTACATGGGTTCTGACAATTAGCATCCTTCATTAGCTGACACTTATCGTTACATTGTGGTTAGTAACATAGCTAAAAGAAAGGCATCTATGGAATTGCTTCTTAAGTAAAAGAGTGCTGGAACATCATCTGGGGAAAAACTGTAGAAGTGGAGGCTGGTGTTTTATTGTGTACCCTGTTGATGCTGAGAGTCTTTTTTTGTTTGTTTGTTTTAGTTAGGCATTAAATTCTACTACTGGGATTTGTTTCTCTTATTACTTTCAGGTACCGTAAGAGAGCCTTATTGAGGGTTATGGTTATATATTAAACAGGAAGTGAAAAGGAAAACTGTTAGAGTCAGGAAGGGCAGAGGATTGTGAAAATATTCTTTTTTTTTTTTTTAATTAAAAAAATACAAGTCACTACAAATGTAAGGAGCAATCAGTCTAGTGATGGCATCAGTGAGCCCACATACAAAACTAGTCTGTTCTACTTTGGACTCCAAGCCTCAAGCAATGGAGGCACAGCAACATTCCTACATACAGCAGACTCTGTATGATCTGCTTAGAGGATGCAATTGCTGAATTGGATCTTCTAATCAGCACATGATTAGGGAAAAAATTGACTGCTGGAGAGAAACCTCAGCATCCAAAGTCCCTCCATACTTTTCAGGATGGGACCTCAATCTGACTGTAATTGTGCACGTGATTTAGAAACAAAACCAAACCAAAAAAACAACCACACCAACACAACAAGACACCTAAAAAGGCACTAAAGAAATTGAATCTTCTTGAAAGCAAAGCTGATTTATCAGGTCTTGACTGGCTCTTTTCCATATTCATATGCAACAGTAAGAATTGTAGGATCTGTTTAGCACCCAGAAAGTGTCAATCCATAAAAACAATTTTTTTTTATAATGCACTTCATAGCTGACATTTTAGTACTGTCAGTTCTTATACCAGACTGACAAACATGGATCTGATTTGAGAAGGAAAGGCTTCCCACTTCAAGAATTTTCCAGCATTTCCAGTTTGTTTTCATCGAGTACAAAGGGAGAAGGGAATTCTTTGTTCTTCATGTACACCTCCAGACCCTGAGAACATGTGAGAACAGTATTGTTAGGCTGTAAATGCACTATTTTAAGTCCTCAAGTGACTGACAAAGGTCAGGGACAAGGCAAAAATAACAGTTTCCCTAGTGACAGAAAGTGTTTCTGGGGTTCAAGAAGCAGAGGCGCTAAGGAAACCTGATGTCAGAAAGCTTCTTGGGAGGGCAGCATGGGAAGGTGTATCCTTAACTGACAGTAGAATAACCCTGGCAAAGAAAAGTCAAATTGCCTTATTTTCATTTTGTTCTGACAACCTATTGATTGCAATGAATTCACCACCTGCACGTGTTGAGGAATACACCTAATGCAGGTAGGTGTAACCTACCTGCTTGCAAGTTAACACATGTGGAAACCTAGCAAACAGTGCCCACACATTCTCCTGCAATCTACTATTTCTCACCCTGTCCATTCAATCGGGAAGCTCCTATTCTCATTATTAAATGGAAGCAGGTTTGTCAGGATCAATTATTTTCAGAGGGACAAAATTGAGAAATGGCTTCCCTAAAGCCAGCACACATTATTTCTCAGTTAGGATTCACTTACTGTGGGATATGAGCACAAATAAGTA